TTCGGCTATATAGTCAGCACAAGTATGTTGGGTCTTCCTCTGTGTTACTGAAGTAGAAGTGTGTCATATTGTGCAGGATCTCATTCGGATCGGGATGGCGGCAAGGTACAATGCCCGAGCTCAGACGCTGATGGTGGCATGTTCCAAATGCCATAGAAAAATAACGTTCCAAGACGTGAGGTTAGATTTGAGAAAGTATCGAGGAAGTTGATCCCCCCCTCTTTGCTCCCATAGGAATAACGTTTTCTATATCCTTGCCCATTCCCTAGACAAACAATGGGGAAAGCGCAGTGCCCTTTCCCCTACATGTCACGAGACCAACTAACCAGCATTGGGACGATATAACAGTGCCCCTCGGAACAGTGATCTAAACCACTGCGACGAAAAGGCCTATCAACCGGCGATATCTACAATCGCCGGTCGCTGGTTAAATACCCAATCCATCCTAAACCGTGACCAAACCGTGACTAAACTTAACTGGGTAACAACATAACCTTCCTCATGTCACGACAACTCGTGACACTACCCTTGCCGAGTGAAAGAGAAGAGTTATCCTCTCCCTTTCCACAGACGAAAGATGTCACGAGCCTGGCAGCCATAGGGCTCAGGACTTGAACCGACGAGACAGACCTCCGTGGCAAAGATGAGCTCGAAGAGCTGAGCCCGGAGGAACAAGACGAGTTGTTCCAGGTAGTTCCTGAACAATACCACCAGTACATTGACGTATTTAACCCGAAGAAAGGAGGAGAGACTCTTCCCCCGTCGAGGTCCTACGATTTGAAGTTTGAGCTCAAGGAGGGGGCGAACCTGAAGGTCGCCTCCCTCTATGCTCAAGGAGAAGATCAGAGACGCGCGCTGAGAGACATACTAGATCGCGAAATCGCTGCTGGCCAAATTCGAGCAAGTAACTCGCCATACGGCTCACCGATGTTTATGATACTGAAGAAAGCCGAAGGGCAATGGCGAATGGTCATCGACTATCGAAAGCTGAACGAAGCGACCATACCAGATGCCTACCCTCTCCCATTAATAGGTCAGATTACCGAAGAACTTGGGAAAGCAAGATACTTCAGCAAACTGGACCTAATTGGAGCGTACCAATTGTTGAGGGTGACAGAAGGACATGAACACCTGACTGTGTTCAGGACACAGTATGGTATGTTCAAATCTTTTGTTGTTCGTGACGGGCTGCGAGACGCCCTGGCTGTCTTCCAACACTTCCTGAACAAGGTGTTTAGAGAACTACTAGGGAATGGAGTCGTGGTCTACATTGACGATATCCTCATTTATGGGAATACATTAGAGGAATTACAAGGAACTACGGCGAAGGTCTTTGAGGTGCTGCGGAAGGCGAGCTTGTACGTGAAAGCTAGTAAGTGCAAGTTTGAAAGAGATTCGGTGGTGTTTCTGGGTTTTGTGGTCTCCTCTCAAGGTGTATCGGTTAATCCAGAGTACATTGACGCCATCACATCCTTCCCACGTCCAAAGAATCTACGAGAGTCGAGGGGTTTCATTGGAGTCGTGAGCTATTACAGGCGTTTTGTCCCCAACTTCTCGAAGATTGCTAGACCTATCAATGATTTGACAAGGAAGGAGGTACCGTTTGTGTGGGGAGCAGAACAGGAGTCAGCCTTTAAGGAATTGAAGGCTAGGATGTGTACTGCGCCGGTGTTAGCTCACTTTGACCCTACATTGAAGACCATATTACAGACAGATGCCTCGTTCTTTGGCTGGGGTTTCATAATTTCGCAGGTCAATACAGCTGGTCAAGAACACCCTGTAGCTATCGAGTCTGGCGCCTTCAACACAGCTCAGCTGAATTATACGGTAGGAGAGAAGGAGTTCCTCGCTGTAGTGGAGGGTTTTAGAAGAAGGAGACACTTACTACTGCAGGTAGAAACCACAGTCCTTACTGACCATTTAAACCTCACCTACTGGATGGAACTGAAGCAACTCAGTCCACGCCAAGATAGGTGGGTAGAATAACTAGCTAACTTCAGGTTTAAAATGGTTTACCGACCAGGAACACAGGCAAGTTGTTATGACACTGCACAGAGGCAGGTCATACATGATGATGTGGCATTATAGAAGTAGTATCAGAGACATCAGATGATGATGTGGCATTAGTCATAGTAGTATCAGAACACTAGGAGCATGATGTGGCATTAGGGTGACAAAGGAGAATTAGGATTTTCAGAGTTTAACCAAGAGTGCAGTACAACTGGATCCTTGGTCAATTGCTTATTCAGCAATGACATCATAGCTTAGTCAGCTTTTCACCAACAATCCAGTACTACTGGATCATTGGTCAATTGCTGAATCAGCTTTTCACCACAGATCCAGTACTACTGGATTCATGGTCAGATAGAAAGTGGAGGCGAGGTGGAGGCGCAAGGGTATAAATACCCCCTCCGTGAGACCTCTTCCTCATCGATGAATTCTCAAAAGTTACACTTCTAAACTTCTCATTCTTCACAATCCTCTTTGCGCTCGCTACACTCGCGCACATTATTTAAGTGACTTCCGATCTATACCCTTCTACAGCACTGAGGTGCTTTTCGTCATCATCGTCCAATCCACTCTACGCTATCACTTCATCCTTCATCGTCGTTGTCCTCTGAAGTTAGGTCTTGGTCACTGCCTAGCTCTCAGGTCGTAACACAAGTCTTCCAGAGGGACTGTCTAGACGGGCGGACTACCACTCCGGAAAGGGAAGTACCATGATACAAGAGAGTAACCTTATTCAAGGTCTACCGAAGTTCGACGAAGTTGACGCCACCACGTCGGAGTTGCGCCACCTCCTTCGAGCATTACAGGGAACAAGAGAAGTAAAAGAAAATGACCTAGTCGAGCCTATGGAATTGATACTTGGGATTCAGGAGGACGAAGACGTAAAGGAGGTTAGAGAGGAGTTATTAGGAGTTATCTGCGCTGAGTGTTCTCATCCAACGTGTCAAGATGATGTACAGGAACCAGGATCGATCGCTGAACTACGCCGCAGTTCGCGATCCCCCTTAATAATTCATGGTGGATGGACCTCAAGGGGTTTCCTCACGTTTGATGATCGCACTTATGTGCCGAACTACGCCGACGCTCGACTAAAGATCATGAAGACGCGACATGACCCGGCCTTAGCTGGTCACCCGGGTTCGGCAATGACCCTTGAACTAGTCCTGAGAGATTATGTTTGGGTTGGAGTAAGGAAGGATGTAGAAGACTATATCGCTGGTTGTGCGGTATGTCAGAGAGCGAAGACTAACAGACAGACGCCTCATGGAGAACTTAAACCCCTGCAAGTGGCTACAAAACCTTGGTCAAGTATCTCGATGGATTGTATCGAAGAACTCCCAAATTCCCATGGATATAACTCTATCTTAGTGGTCGTGGATCGACTGACAAAATGGGCCATGTTTATCCCAACCACAACAAAGTTAACCGCAGCTGGACTATTGGAGCTGATAATGGACTATGTGGTGGCCCAGCATGGGTTACCAGAGAGTATAGTATCGGACAGAGGATCGAAGTTCACTTCGAAGTTTTGGAAGAACTTGACCGATAGTCTCGGGATAAGACTACATCTTTCTACCACGTATCATCCACAGACTGATGGACAGACTGAACAAACCAACCAGTCCCTGGAATTATACCTTCAAATCTTCACTTCCTACCAGCCGAACAACTGGTGGAAGCTGCTTGCTCGAGCTAGCTTTGCTTACAACAACACCCATCATTCCGTGATAAACAAGACCCCATTCTATGCGGACTATGGGTAACACCCTCGGTGGGCTGAAGAGATTAAGGCTAGTGAAGTTGAAGTACCTGCTGCTACAATAGCAGTAAAAGACCTAACTGTCACGGCCGTCGAACAACTACTTTCTAACAGACCAAGTGTCGATGAACCTCGGCTAACTTGACGCTCCTAAGTCGATGTCTCACCCAACCGGGAGGGCGCAGATGTCGAAAGGAGTGTAACTACGGCGTACTTCGGCGTAGTTACTCTAACTGGGGTTTTGTTCTACTGATGGCGATGTATCTCGATTTGTATATAGCTATCTCTATCTGTCTTTCACTACTGACAACAATCAAGGATTGCTGAGGAACTTCAGTGATCTTCTCAGCTAATATTATCTATTCCTCCTAGACGTTCATCCAACCCTCTCGCGCTTTGACGTACTTCAACGCACTTCGTCCAACTTCCCCGAGTCCCCGGCCATCCTCTTCCTCCTTCGACTAACTCCGCCTAACACTAACCGAAATACATAAGGAATGTATTGAGGGGATTGAGAAAGCTAATGAGAAGTACGCCGAAGGATACAACAGGAAACACCGAACTACGCCGAACTTCATGGAAGGTGACCTAGTGATGCTGTCATTAGAGAACATCAAGACTAAGAGACCAATGAAGAAGTTAGATGTGAAACAAAGTGGGCCGTACAAGGTGGTACGGCAGGTAGGTTCTCATGCTTGTAAATTGGAATTGCCAGAAACGATGGCAGGTATCCATGATGTATTCCATGTCTCCTTGCTCCGTCCCTATCACCCTCCAGTATTTCCGGGTGAGCAAGGTGAACCACCTGGCCCAGTGGAGGTAGATAACGTAGGAGAGTCTTGGGAAGTAAAGGATATTGTGGACTCGAGGGTTAATATGAGGTCAGGAAAATTAGAGTATCTAGTGGAATGGTTAGGCTACGAAGGCTCTGATGACGCAGTATCATGGGAACCAGTAGAGAATGTGGACGGAGCTGATGACATATTGGCAAAGTTCCACGAACTTCACCCTAATAAGCCGAGGAAAGGACGAGTGGGGAGATCACGGGCAAGGAAGTAGTTCATACAACAGGTACAACATTAGCTAAGTACAACTCACTGCTGCAAACTTCCTCCTTGTTCCCCGTTCCCCGGCGCAGGACCACCTCCAGAACTATTCTCCGTAACCTTTGCTGGTGCTATCCGTCGAAGTGACCGAGTTTCCCTCCATGCCGTGTTAAATGCCAGAATGTGAGCAGTGTGGAGAGCAGGATCACGAGCGAGGTTCAGACTAGGTAACTTCCACAACTGACAAAGTGTTCTGAGACAGTCTGGGGGAAGAGTCAGGATATCAAGGAAAGCACCATCCTGAGAACTGAGTTGAGCTGGTTGAGACCGTTTTAAACCAGTCCAGTGTGGGGGGGAGAATATATTCGGTAGGGTTCAGGAGGAAGGGAGAGTCGAAGAGATTGCGGTAGAAGTCGTTCATATCCGTTGTGAGCTCCCGGGAGACTCTAGCTAACTCCGTCCGTGCTGATGGGCCTATATCGGAGGAGTTCACAAGGGTGGCCATTGTCCGGGAGAGAGTATTCATCGCGGAGACTAACTTCACGCAATATTCGACGAGCTTCGCCGTATCTCGTCGATTGGCTTGTAATTGCGTGGTCAAGCCAATGATGACGGAGCGGAAGGTAGCCAGTTGTTTCTCCTCCTCAGGTATCCGAGGGTCGAAGGCAATGGTGGGGTGGTCGAGGGAAGGAGGGATTTCCTCTGGTAGCTGAGTACTTTCGTTTTCCACCACTGCCGGCTCAAATTGGACGGCCTTCTTCTTACCCTTCCCTTTTGAAGATTTCGAAGGAGGGGATTTCACAGGAGGAGCAGGAGTTGAGAGCCCAGTAGCGGGAGGGACAGATGGTTGACGGCTTCGGGTCCCAAGGGCAGGAGGGAGACTTAGAGGGGAATCCTCTTGAGTTGAGACAGGAGTAGGACGGCTCCTGGTGGGACGGAGACGGACCGACAGAAGGAGTAGCCGGGAGACAAGATGGGCCAGCCACAGGAGTTGAGGGCTGGAGGGGCGCAGAAGGGGCACGACGAGGTGCGCGACGAGACAAACCTGCCGAAGGAGTGGCAGGGAGACCAGACGGCCCGGCCACAGGAGAGGTAGGCGGGCGACGGGCGGCGGGTGACGGCGAGGTAAGGCCGGGAGAGGAGAAGTTCGCCGAAGGAGAACGCGAAGGATAGTCCCCGTCCTGGGCTGTGGGGAGACGGCGACGGACAGCGGTGGACGGAGTGTATGAAGGACCGAGAGGAGCAGAAGATCTAGAAGGAATGTCCTGAGCGGAGTTGGGGGGACAGAAGGAACAGGGCCCAGAAGTGCAAGAAGCACAACGGGACCCGTGATTATGAGGTTTGACCGGTCGTAGACACGGCCACTTCGCTCTCCCATACGTGATAATTTCACGGCTATTGATCAGCAGACGTATAAACTTCTAGGGAAGGAACCTACCGACATCTATCACACGATTCATCGATACTGGCGACCTCCCATCGCTCCCTGTCATCGATAAACAACTTCCATAGCCTATCCTGTTCTCGCAACCACGCCTTGCGAGCACTCCCTGGCTCATGGGAAGGGGAGGGAAACAATTCAGCCTGTCCTGTAGAGGACCGAGGGATCTCTTTGACCCGTTTCGCCGAAGGGGGGGGGGGTTACTTCGTCGTGGGCGGAAGGGGAACGGTGTCACGGTCCTGTCCTTGACAGACCTCAATGGATCAAAGACAGGTGGACTGCAACTGTTTAGTTAGCTTGGACAATGACAATTAGTATGTTGTCCGCAGACTTGTGATGTGGTCGGACGACTAAAGTGACTTGCGAAGGATCCGGGCAGGTCGAGATGACAATAAGAGTGTGTGTGATGGTGTGGGCAGGGGTAATGATGATGAGGGATGTGTTGGGATGTAAGTAATATGTCAAGAAGAGGTCTTTTGTGAGTGGCAAATAATATTTTGATCCTTGGAGAAAAGAAACTACAAAGTAGATAGGTCCAGTATTTATACTTTTCAAAAGGGATCTCATGCACATCCAATGTCGTCTCCCCTCGTGTCTCCTCGTCTCCTCGCGTGTCTCCTCGTGTCTCCTCGTGTCTCCTCGTGTCTCCTCGTGTCTCCTCGTGTCTCCTTGTGTCTCCTTGTGTCAGGGTCATGAGTCACGACACTGTGTTAGCCGGGTCGTGACAAACGGCGACATTTCTCGGACTTCACTTCGGCGAGCTTCTCCATGTAGGCTAATCGCTTCCTACCGTTGGAGCCCAGTATCTTCACACAGAGCTCGGGAGATCCTTCGGTGCCGCGGACGGCTAGACATGTTAGCACTCACGAGCAGGTTATACAGCGGCAAACATACGACTCAGAGCTCTTAGTTTGGCTGTCACGAGACCAACTAACCAGCATTGGGACGATATAACAGTGCCCTTTAGAGGCAGCGGTCTAAACCACTGTGCTAAAAGGCCTATCAACCGGCGGCTACTGCATACCGCCGGTCGCTGGTTAAATACCCAACCCATCCATCACTATCACTATCAAACTGTCTTGTCACTTTGTGACATCGGCCAACCAACCATCCCTATCCTCGAACAACTCCTCGTCACCAAGATCGATGTCAAACGACTCGTCTTCCTCCTCACCCATCTCATCATCATCACCTGCACTACCCGTCTCACCATCATCAACCAACACACCCGTCTCTTCACCACGACGATCACCAACCACCTCCTCATCACCATCCATCTCCTCATCATCATCGATTTCTACCACAGTGGCAGTACGGCCTGACGTGTGTGAAAGGCCAACAGGAGCAGGTCTGACCTCCTGTTGGCCAGAGGAGAGAGGGGTCGTAACCGCAACGGGGGACGCGGTGGCAGAAGGAACTGCAGCGGAAGCTGCAACAGCAGAAGGCGAGCCATCGGTGATGGCTAGGGCTCCAAAGCCCATAGACGACACTTGGCGGGGAGAGTTTCCCTGCTGAGAGACTGGAATGATCAGCGAAGACCCAACCTGGGACCATTACAAGTAAGCTTACGGGCAGCGGAGAAGCAATCTACAAAAGATCGGTAGGCGTCATATTCTGGACGAGAGCTCATATTGTTAAAATATATCAAATTGATATGTTTGGTAAGGTAAAGGTTGAGATTCGATAGACGATGATAGTACGATTTAGGATTAGTACTGGGGAAGAAGACGAAGTGGGCCGAAGTACTGAGTATTTAGTATGACTGACACGACTGCTCGTCGTCAGGGCGCTGGTAACTTCGCATAACAAGGTGTCTCAGCAACAACAAACACCATGGTGACGATCAAAATTCCCACGCTACGTGTCTCACATTCATATAAGTTAGGGATACGCTGTCGAACTTCGACGAGGTTTGTTGTACCCCAAATCCTCTGTCTCACTTACAACGTAACTACCACAGGGTAACAATAAGCAACCACGATGAACTTCGACGAAGTTAACTGTCCGATTAACAACAAACCATGGTATCATCTACCAACAACTGGTATATGACCAATTGTGTTTCCTGCAACCTGCTGAGTGTCTTTTTCTTCATTACATGCATACGAAGCTCACGAGGACGTTCACGCCTAAGGAGGGGGCGACTGTCATGAACTACGTCGTAACATCCCTGACAACCACCATCACCGACCCTCCTTTCACCATCACCAACCTCCACTCGAACCACTGAGACCAACTACGGCGAAGTTACGAGAACCAAGAGGGTATTTGTCACGATAACCCCGCCTAGCGGAGAACTACGGCGAAGTTAGGGGAAGGGAACCAAGGGAGACCAGAACAGGGGAAGCTAGGCGAAGTTGGTCGAAGTGAGCGGAGTAGGACATCGGGGATATGGCAAGGTACGGCGAAGTTGAACGAAGAGGACTGAGCGTGAGGCAGTGCAAGAGTTGAGGGACGTTCTATGAGAAGAGAGGAGTAGTATAGATAGTTTACAGATCGCTGAACTTCTTCAGCGATCCTTGATTGTTGTCAGTAGCGAGAGATATATTCAGTAGCTACAACTATTGAGTTAGGGAGAGCTACCACCGAGCAGTTTGACGCACCACGACGAAGTTAGCCGCAGTTCATTGACGATCATCTTATCCTTTCACCACTCAACGCATTACTACGGCGAAGTTAGCTGTAGTTCCCCGACGAGTACCCTGTCCTAGTGAGACATCAACGCCCCACTACGACGTGATTAGCCGAGGTTTGTCGACCGTCGGTCAGTAGTGAAGAAGAAACGACGATCGTGACACCATATATGGGTTCAGGTGTATTCATGGTGAACACATATGAACTCATAATGAATGCATATGAATTCATGCATGTGGCACCATGGCAGACTCCTGTGGTATCAAGGTGAACTCATATGGTATCATGGTGAACTCATATGGTGTCATGGTGAACTTGTATGATCCCATGGTGATATCACATGTACTGATATGAACTCATTGGAGCTCATATTGAAGTCGTATGAATTCAGTTGGAATGTGTTGAAATCACGTGAACTCGGGTAAAGCTTGGTAGAGTCGTGACACCTGTTCTCAATCTCCTCTATCCTAATCCGTCAAGTTTGTTGGAACTGCATCAAGTCGTTGTCACTCTGTAACACAACCACAGGGCTCCTCACACTAGTTCTTCCTTGTCTTATTCCTCGTTCACTGGATCCCCATCTACTTCCTCCATGTGACCTCCTCCCTGAATTGCACTCAAAATCTGCCCCATGGCCTCTTGAACATCTGTGAATGAGGGAGGATGGGGTCCATGTTGCCGACTCAAGAGATTAGCAACATCTGCACGGTGCCGCCAGATTTCTTGGAGGTTGTCAAGCGCCTCAGATGCTTCGTTCCAGAGGAGTAAGACCTTTTGATAGTCATCTGGATGTGACAGCAAGTCAGAGTCTCCAGCTCTGTGCATATACGGACCTTGCTTGTCTTGGAGGCTGGAGAGAACACGGAGTAGGCTATTGATCCTACCTTCAAGAGTCTGGGCACTCCGAACGGTGTCCTCGAGACGGAATGAATTTACAAGGGTGGACTGCGGATTTTCAACTGCCCTCCTTCCTATGCAGTCAATTAGCGCTCCAGCAGCGTGATAAAGCAAAGCACTGTTTCTCCACAGATCCTCTGCGTTGGTAAACTGCACATATGAGAGCTGTGTGGTCAAGTGAGCCGGATCTATAAATGGAGCATTCAATATCGTATGCACCAATCGGGTTGCGTGGGTCTGTGCGTCCACTCGTGTCCGGGATGGAGACGGTAGAGCAAGCTGGTAGTTCCCAGATGGAACATTGTCACCGGAACTCGTGTCTTGTGGGGGAACGTTCATAGCAGATTCAACACCTGGTAGTTGCAATCAAAGCTTAGTTTGTTTAGATTGTTTGTGGGGATCACTCTACTTATATCCTCCACTTCCATGAGAAAGTCTAGACGGCTTGAACAACCAACTCCGACACAGTTCGGGCGTCCGGTGATCGGTGATCCGGTGATCCGGGATGGTGATGTCATGATACCGTGGACGGGAAGTCCCAGGTTAAAATCCCCAAATTCGGTCACCGTTCTGTCACGAACTACGTCGTGACACCTCCATTATTCCACCAACAACGACCCTCCTTTGACCATCAAAACCCCCATCACGCTTTAACTTCTTTACTCTACACGTAACTCAGGACATCTGAGACCAAGTACGGCGAGGTTAGACGGAGTTAGGCTAAGTAGGGACAATGGGAGCAGAAGTACGGCGAAGTTAGACGGAGTTAGGCTAAGTAGGGACAATGGGGCAGAAGTACGGCGACGTTAGGCGGAGTTAGTCGGAGGAGGAAGAGGATAGCCGGGGCTCGGGGAAGTTGGAGGAAGTGCGTCGAGGTGCGTCAAAGTGCGAGAGGGTTGGATGAACGTCTAGGAGGAATAAACAATATTAGCTGAGGAGATCGCTGAAGTTCTTCAGCGATCCTTGATTGTTGTCAGTAGTGAAAGATAGGTAGAGATAGCTATTTACAAATCGAGATACATCGCCATCAGTAAAACAAAACCCCAGTTAGAGTAACTACGGCGAAGTACGCCGTAGCTACACCCCTTTCGACGTCTGCGCCCTCCCGGTTGGGTGAGACATCGATTTAGAAGGATCAAGTTAGCCGAGGTTCGTCGACCGTCGGTCTATTAGGAGGTAGTTGTACGACGGGCGTGACACGTTCCCACCTTATACTTCATACCACCCCTGTCTCTCATACGCCTTGTATGCTTTGACTATTTATAAAACTTGTTATGTGCTATGCCAGACTTTCTCTGAAACCTGTCGAGTACTCGGAATATCCACACACAGTGAGGAAATAGGCTAACTTACCGCCCAGCTTTCAATTCCGGATCTATCTAGCCTTCTGAGTAGGCAAAACCTGAAGGCTCTTGACCATATTGTGACATGCTAACAAGTATCACAGAGATCCACAGAGACAGCCAGGATGATATTGAGCCTCGAGCCGGAGGCCGGAGGGGAAGATGGGATGATGGGATGATGGGATGATGGGATGTGGGATCCGGGACATGGGATGTAGTGAGTAGTCCGTATAGATCCTTCTACCATCCACATTCTACCGTATTCTTCTTCTCTCTCCTTCTACAACAATCCATGCTTAATCAGCCTTACATAGGTAGTAGGTGTAAACCCCAGTCGATAGACTCATGCATCATCTTTACCCTTCAATTGCCTTTCTACATTGGAGACGTTATCGGCACCGATTGATTATCTAGACAGTCATCTGTGGAGGAGAAAGAGGATGCAATCAACCTATTTATGTATCTCTCGTACTGAGATCTATCCTGATGAGTCAGCTGCTCAGCAATGTACCGAAGCATCGATTAGCTATCAAAGAAGTTGTCTCTCACGCTAGGCTCTTGGCCATCGTCGGATCATGGATCGCCAACCAAGATGGGATCTCACTTCCCTTCTCCTTCTCGCTTATTTCTGCATGTAACAAAATGAATCGAGTTTGTAGATGATTCCTAGACCACCCTTGACAGATGAGTACTACTTCAGCAACCGGGGGAGTGAAGATGCCGGAGTTGATAGGATATTGTACACCACTCTATGAACAAATTGGAGGGTTGTGGGTTAGCTGCCGGAAGCCTGGGGGCTGTATGCACATTGATCCCCCTCTTATTGACAACATTGTTAGTCAAACATTGCATGCTGAGTGAGTCCAGGCCTTCTATGTATAGCCGTGATGTGTTTTAGTCAAGGAAGGGGCCTGTATAGCACTGCTTGATGAGTGGAAGTGAAGGTTGCGTTTTGAGAAGTCAACCTGGGACTTCCCGGCCACCGTACATGAGTAGGAAACGTTGCCTCTCTCCGTCTCCACCCCACTTGCTCTCACGATCACAAATCCCGTGTGAACGTATCGCCTCCCTACCACTTTCAGTCATTTCTCCTCACTCCATTCATCAATGTATGACACCTCAAGGACGGCCCCTCAGGCTCACATCCTCTCACGGTTGACGAGAAGAAACCACCGACTTCACGTCCAGCGTCTCGTTCACCTTCCTTCCTTCTCTAGCTCGTCATGGCAAATACCGCTTGCATCCTATGTGTCTGGGCTCACCCATGGACTACCCCCTCTCTCGGGACGATGACGTTGACGATCTCGACTCTAGACCCTCCAGTTAGGCACGCCGCTCTTTCAAGAAACTGGGATATGTCCTTTCGATCACAATAGGATTTTCTGGGATCATCACAATGGACAAGTCCTCTGCGCGACATGGCTAAATCGGTATCAGGTGTGAGTCCAACTATCATCACTCTCAATCTGAAGCCTGTCCACTTATGTCACCTCTGGTGACAGGTCAAAATACGCGCAGAAGCGTCCGAGAAAAAAGGATGAAGATCCAGGGTTCAGTGAGGGGTATGATGGCCTCGCATGATGACACGGTACTCTTACCGAGCAAGGGTCAATATAATCGGTCAAGACTGATCTGCGATGTAATGACATCTCACTGCCTAAGATGTCGAAGTCAAACGTGTGAGTGTTTCAGAGATCCCGTACCGAGCTTCCACAACGGAGGATGCCATGTGTGATGTGTAGCCGACGTATAAGTTCAGACTTTCGCTCCTCCATCGACCACCTCTACCCCCATCGCGCGATGTCGAGTACAATGGCAGCGTAGTCAAAGTTTTGCCTGTGCATGATCAGAAGGATGAGGGGGAAAGGAAAATGGGGATCGCGCGTGTCACTGACCATGAGGGGTTCAAGGGGTCTCGTGACTCTGTCCACCATGGAGCCGATTTCGAGCCTCGTATCTAGCTCGACGGTTTGGAACATGAACCACAACACCTCCACGCCTTCACAAATGTAAATACCCGGCGATTTGGTAAGTCTCTCATATGCAAGATCACTTCACTGGCTCAGTTGACCGGTCCGATTCTCCCTGCAGAGGTAGTACTACATTTGTATCTTGTCATTCATCATGCAGCATCCCTTCCCGCACCTGTGTTGTACCACCTGCACTCATATTCGCTGAACCAGACAGGAATCTCTGCACATCGCGTTCTCAGTCCAGGTTGTTCGTTCCGTTACTGACCTCCAGTGTTGTCAAACCCTCTCCTCTTGTCGATCCCCTTCACCAACGTACATCATCTTCATTCTCTCATGCATCACCTCATGCCTGTATGATCAATTGTGTGGTATCACTACCCAAAGTCTTCAACACCCTACACTTTGTCATGGCTAAGGACTTGTGCCAGCATATGTAGGAGGGGGCTTGTTGTCGCAGTGAGAATCAAACACGCAGAGACACCCTTGAAAGAGTGACCCGAACCTGTTGGAAAAATAGGCCTGCAGGACCACTGGCTAGGAAGCTTATTTGGTTACTTCAACACTCCCCTCAAATGGGTTTCCAGTCATGGCTCGTATGTAGGCTCATTGTGCTGGCATGGGGGACCTCCCTCGTCGGTACTAACGGTGTGCCCTGGTGCCTATGGGGATTGAACCCAAGTCTTTGGCACCGAGTGTTTGCTCTGTTGCACTAGCGCAAATCCGACTGTTAATCTGTTGGAAAAATAGGCCTGCAGGACCACTGGCTAGGAAGCTTATTTGGTTACTTCAACAGAACCCCCTGTCACGATTGCTGAGGCTCGGCAACTGGAGCAAAGAAAGACTGTCGCTCATCGCTGTCCCACTTGTCCATGAGATTCACAACGACATTGCCAACCTCTAAAAGTAAAGCCCTCCACTCCTGGCAAAGTGGATTGGTAATACTGTCAAAGCGCCAAGCCCATACCGCATCAAGTCTACCAAATTGTGCACGGCCAGCCTGAACTTGTCGCTCCTCCAGCGATTTCAGTCCATCCAAAAGACGTTGAAAGATAGGATTCTCAATCAGTGTGTTGTCCGTATACATTGTGCCTATTATGCTAACTCCATGTATTGCTGTCTGATTCCTAACCTCTTTGAGCCATGTGTCAGCATCTTTCAAGATGGTTCTAGCCTCATCTATACGCTGATTGATGTATACATCAAAAACCCCGTCAGGCATGTGTTTTGTCATCCGATCATGGGTATTGGCGACCAGACTGGTCATCTGTGTTGTCCGCTGAAGCAGGTTTTTAGCTCGAGAATCATCCTGCTCTGTGCTAATCCAAAGACAAACTGAAATGTGAGCCGTCTCCTTATGGAAAATTTTCACATCATCATTGATTTTCTTGACATCCAAGTATAGTTCAAGATATCCCTGAGACACCACGGTGGTAGGATGCTGCAGGTCACCGGTTTTCCGGAACTCCTCAGTGAGACGACATAAGTATCCCTCTTCCTCGAGGATGCGATGTGTCCGCTCGTCGAGATCTTGAATTTGGTCGGACCACTGGGAGATCTGCGCAGGATCAGGCGTGACCGAGACCCCTGCCGGAAGAGGGGCAAAGTATTCGGAGCGGTTTGGCCCTTGCCAGGCATTCAGGACCTGGTCTGTGAGTTCAATGGCGGCCGTTGCTTCCTTCAAGTTTTCCGGAGTCAAATGAGAACCAAGTAAAGTCAAGGTATCATTTGCCAAGCGCCTGCGTATCGCAAGTGACTCCATCAGGGAGGAAAGGATGGAGAATACAGCATCCGATTTATCTGGCTCACTCAGAGCATCAACTCCGCGCAGGGTGGCAAAAGCTCTGGCATGGTCAACACCTTCCATTACATCACTGGTCAATTTCTCCATATATGTCACGAACCATGTTGTAACATCCCTGACAACCACCATCACCGACCGTCCTTTCACCATCACCGAAGCACTATCCATCACCACCCCGAACCACTGAGACCGACTATGACGAAGTTACGGGAACCTAGGAATCATTAGTCACGACAACGCCGCCTAACAGAAAACCGAAGTTAGGAGAAGGGAACTGAGGGAGGCAGAGCAGAGTAGGGGAAGTTAGGCGAAGTTAGTCGAAGTGAGCGGACTAGGATATTGGGGATATGGCGAGGTACGGCGAAGTTGAGCTAAGAGGACTGAGCGTGGGGTTGTGCAGGAGTTGAAGGACATTCTATGAGAAGAGAGGAGAAGTATAGATAGTTTACAGATCGCTGAACTTCTTCAGCAATCCTTGATTGTTGTCAGTAGCAAGAGACATATTCAGTAGCTACCACCTTTGAGTTAAGGAGAGCTACGATCCAGCAGTTCTATGTACTACGGCAAAGTTAGTACCCGACGATCACCTTATTGCTTTGCCACTCAACGACCCACTACGGCGAAGTTGGCGGTAGTTCCCCGCCGAGCACCCTGTCTCAGTGAGACATCGACGCCCCACAACGACGTAGTTAGCGGAGCTTTGTCGACCGTCGGTCAGCATCTATCCTCCCCTACCCCTTGCACCACCTCCTCAGCCGACAGGACTATCAGAACCACCAACCTTGAGGATGGGTTCCAAAGGTTCGGGACAGACTCCACGACCAAGGGAGAGGAACACAGAAGGTAGACTAAGTTTGGCAGGAAGTGAAGCAGTAAGAGGGACTGAGGAGGAGGCCACAACTCAGAAGATGATGCTAGCGATGATGAACATGATGATGGAGATGAATAGGGATATGATAGCAGAGAGGAAGCGTTGGGAGGAACAGGAGAAGAAGAAGGAGCAGGAGACGGTTGGGGGAATAGTAGAAGGGATCTCTGAAGGGGTACGATTCGCCATGGGGAGGCAGGCGTCGGGGACCCCAGGAGTAGCTGAGATGGGTGGAGGGATAAAACTTCCCCTCCCAGACCTTTGGAGAGGCAAGAGATCAAAGCTCACCACCGCCTGCATCTCAGAATGTGAAATACACTTTGAAATCAACGCTCACAAGTTCCCCACCGACCAAGTAAAAATCTTTTTCATGATCTCTTTTCTTTGCGAAACTCCTCTCCTTGCCCTCCAGCCGGATTTACCTAAAAACGACCCTCCTGAGCATCTACTGGACTACAAGAAGTTTATTCAGTACCTCGAGACCAATTTTGGAGATCCTGATGAGGAGAGAACCGCTGCAAGAGGGATAAACAAGCTACAACAGAACGGGTCGGCTTCCGAGTACTTCGCCGCCTTCCAATGATATGTTGCGGTTTTAGGATGGAGTGATGATGGGAACCTCTTGGACCGAGCGAAGAATGGACTAAAAAGTCACTTGCTGAATGAAATCACTCGCCACGCAAAGGTTTTCAAGACCTACCGAGAGTTGATCGAGTTCGTGGTCCCCATGGACAATCGTTTACACCAACGAAGAGTGGAGAAGGAGAATGAGAAGAAGAGGAAGGAAGTAAAGGAGCAGGGGGAGAAGAGAGGAAGTAAATAGGGGAGGGGAAAGGAAGGCCGAGGAGAAAGGGCAATCTACGGTGAAGTTCGTGGTGTTGCAACCTAAGGCCACGAACTGGGGAAAGGGAATTCCAACGGACGTAGACAAACTGAACCAACGTTGGCCGAGGCCCAGCGCTGAGGAGGTGTTGAAACACAGGGAAGAAGGGAAGTGTACAGGATGTGGAGAGAGGGGACATTTGTCATGAGACCAACTAACCAGCATTGGGACGATATAACAGTGCCCTTCAGAGGCAGCGGTCTAAACCACTGTGCTAAAAGGCCTATCAACCAGCAGTTACTGCATACCGCCGGTCGCTGGTTAAATACCCAACCCAACCTATCACTATCACTATCAAACTGTCTTGTCACTTCGTGACAGTGGTCTACATTGACGATATTCTCATCTATGGGAATACATTAGGAGAATTACGAGGAGCTACGGCAAAGGTCTTTGAGGTGCTTCTGAAGGCGAGCCTGTACGTGAAAGCTAGTAAGTCCGGGTTTGAAAGGGATTCAGTGGTGTTCCTGGGATTTGTGGTTTCTTCTCGAGGTGTATCAGTGGACCCAGAATACATTGACGCCATCACATCCTTCCCACGTCCGAGGAATCTACAAGAGTCTAGGGTATTTATTGGAGTTGTCAGCTATGACAGACATTTTGTCCCCAACTTCTCGAAGATTGCTATGCCAATCACTTATCCATCGAAGAAGGATGTGCCGTTCGTGTGGGGAGCAGAGCAGGAGTCGGCCTTCAAGGAATAGAAAGCCAGGATGTGTACTGCGCCAGTGTTAGCTCACTTTGACCCTACATTGAAGACTCTATTACAGACAGATGCCGTTCTTTGGCTGGGGCATCATTACTTCGCAGGTTGCTACAGTTGGTCAAGAACACCCGGTAGCCATCGAGTCAGGAGCGTTCAACACAGCGCAGCTGAATTACACGGTAGGAGAGAAGGGGTTCCTTGCGGTAGTCGAGGGCTTCCGAAGAAGAAGACACTTACTGCTACAGGTAAAAACCACAGTCCTTACCGACCATCAAAACCTCACCTATTGGATGGAACCAGAACAGCTCAGTCCACGCCAGGGTAGGTGGGTAGAGGAGTTAGCCATCTTCAGATTTATGATGGTTTATCGACCAGGGACTCAAGCAAGCCTTCCTGATGGGTTGTCTAGACGGGCGGATTATCACTCGGGGAAAGGAAGTACCATGGTACAAGAAAGTAACCTTATTCAAGGCCTACCGAAGTTTGACGAAGTTGACGTCACCACATCGGAGTTGCATCACCTTCTTCGAGTGTTGCAAGGGACAAGAGTAAAAGAAAATGATCTTGTCGACCCTATGGATTTGACACTTGGGATTCAGGGGGACGGAGACGTGGAAGGGGTGAGAGACGAATTATTAGGAGTCATCTGCGCTGAGTGTTCTCATCCAACGTGCCATGATGAGGTACAGGAACCAGGGTCACTCCCCGAACTACGCCGTAGTTCGCAATCCCCTTTAATACTCCGCGGTGGTTGGACCTCAAGGGGTTTCCTCACGTTCGATGATCGCACTTATGTGCTGAACTACGCCAATGCTCGATCGAAGATTATGAGGATGCGACACGACTCACCCTTAGCTGGTCACCCAGGTTCGGCAAAGACCCTCGAACTAGTCCTGAGGGATTACGTTTGGGTTGGAGTAAGGAAGGATGTCGAAGACTACATTGCTGGTTGTGCGGTATGTCAGAGAGCAAAGACTAACCGGCAGAAACCTCAAACCATTGCAAGTGGCTACGAAACCTTGGTCAAGCATCTCGATGGATTTCATCGAAGAGCTCCCAAATTTCCATGGGTATAACTCCATCTTGGTGGTAGTAGATTGGTTGACCAAATGGGCCATGTTTATCCCAACTACAACGAAGTTAACCTCAGCTGGGCTCTCGGAACTAATAATGGACTATGTGGTAGCTCAGCATGGGTTACCGGAAAACATAGTGTCAGACAGGGGATCTGTGAGGGCCGTTGAATAACTTCTTCCTAATAGACCGACGGACAGCGAGCCTCAGCTAACTTGACTCTTTGGCTTTGATGTCTCACCCAAACAAAAGGGCGCAGACGTCAAAAGGTATGTAATTACGGCGTACTTTGGCGTATTTACTCTATCTAGGGGTTTTTACTGATGGCGATGTATCTCGATTTATATTGTAGCTATCTCTATCAATCTTTCACTACTGACAACAATCAAGGATCGCTGAGGAACTTCAGCGATCTTCTCAACTAATAATATGTACTCCTCCTAGACGTTCACCCAACCCTCTTGCGCTTTGACGTACTTCAACACACTTCGTCCAACTTCCCCGAGTCCCCGGCCATACTTCTCCTCCTTCGCCTAGCTCCGCCTAACCTCGCCGCACTTCTGCTCCCATTGTCCCTACTTTGTCATAAATCTCGAATCTCGGTCGCAGCACAAGCAGTTTATAAAGGGTCTCAGCTCATACTATGAGCTGAACATTGGATCTTTTAGCACAAGAGCTTAGTGCACATCACCCTTTGGGCGTATGCATTACATACTTAGCCTAACTCCGTCTCACTTCGCCGTACTTCTGCTCCCATTGTCCCTGGTCCCCCCTAACTCCGTCTAACTTCGCCGTCCTTATGCTCCAGACCCCTGTACACCTTATTGTCCCATTGCACTTCACCGTAGTTGGTCTCAGATGTCCTAGGTTACGTGTAGGGTGAAGAGGTCAAGACATAATAGGGGTTTTGATGGTCAAAGGAGGGTTGTTGATGGTGGGATATTCGAGGTGTCACGACGTAGTTCGTGACAGTTTGCTGATCTGTACTATATACTATCTACCAGTCTCCGTGTCCTTGTTCCTCCTACTGCAAGCGTCTATGTACATACTCGGACAGGTGAAAAACCGCTTTGAGCCAACCCAGTGGGGAAATCTCGAAAGGGGAAAACCCATCCCTACCTAATCGCAGCACTGCCTCTAGTTCCCGCCCTTCTCTTTCCTAATCCGTCAAACTCAATGGAGTTCTCTCGATTTGTTGTTACCCCGTAACAGTTTGCCAATTCTCTTGAAGAGAATTGCAAAAATGTTTGGCAGTTCTTCCGTAGCTTATTGTTGTAGTTTTGCAGTTCAGCCTGTTTTGCTGTGGATTGAACCCCCTCCAAACAGGTTGTTCCCCACCTATGATTCTCATGTTGAATCTCATTCTCAACTTGTCAGTCCAGTCAGATCCAGCCTGACATCTTGCAGTTCTCTCAGTTCCCTCAGTACCCTAAGTCCCTTGTCACCCTCTGTATACTCCTTAAGCTCTACAAGCCAGAGACAAGTATTGGGTTACAGCCCCATCTCAGTCACCTTGCCTACCCATTGGGGATTAGACCCCGCCCGTGACACGAAGTTAGCCGAGGTTTGTCAACCCTCTGTCAGTAGAGGAGAACAAACGACAATTGTGGCAGCAAGGCATTGATATTGTCCATTATCTCACATCATGCATTCCTCTCTCCTCTCCTATCATATGCCAGGTGATCTCAGAGAATCATGTCTGTTTCCTGAGACTCTGTCCACACCCTCTTGATCATCTTGTTGAATTGGTTATTGCGTCTATCCAACCACTCTTCTGTTCCAGGATAACAAAAGCGTCTCAGTCCTGACGCGTCAGCATGATAAGCTGCCCAGTCAGAAAGTAATTTCTCATTCTTTGTCTTATATGCATTGGCAGCAACCTTGACCCACTCCACACACATCTTCCAATACTCATGTTCGACTTCACAGGCTGTTTGATTCAATTTGCTCCAAGGATCCTCATTCAAGGAGACTGTTGTCAAGCTTGAATCAGCTTGCACGAGCCCTTCACGCACCACTGTCAACCTCACAGCCTCCCGGAAGTCTTCTAGTCTGGAGTGACAGTCAGAGATACTTTGGAGAAGGGAAGCAGCAGTCTTGTCGGTGAATGACAATGAATTCAGAGTTGAGACAGGGTCATAACCGTCCTTCACATATTGGTGGAATGCAGTGGAAAACTCATCCGCTGCTAAAGAATCTGTCCCGTGTACATAGCGCTCGAGACTAGAGTAGATTTCTTCCATGGCATCATGGTTCCGGATTGCTGCTTGCCTCAAGGCTGTAATTGCAGCCGCAAGTTCCTGGGGCCGAGAAGGATTTTCTTTCCCAAACCCCAATTCTTCACTTTCATACCACGTCCGAAGCCAGCAATTTCGCAATTCATCCGCCTCTGTTTTCACGGCCTCCCAACCATCTACGGCTCCTGTGTCACGATCTGGCAAGGGAATGCCACGGTCCGCGGTAACGTGACAGTAGATTGACGCGATTTGCCTGGTGAAGAAGGCATCGAAGACGTCGGCCGTTGCGCGCCATTCTGTCACATTCTCAATAGTGAGAAGAGGGTCGTCAACATGGTCCTCTGAAGGAATTGTGTTTGGATCAGAGACATGCACATCAGACATGGTCAGGTAAAGAATAGATATTGTTGGGTCTGATGATGGCAAATGTTGTAAGTCGATAGTTAGGAGAAGATGCAAGGTAGTCCAGTGATTTTATACCTGTGTTTGGGGGTTTGGGAGAGGTCTGATCCGGACACCCGGACATCCGGACAAGCGGAGGGACATGAGAACCAAAGCGATACACTAGTGGTTGAATAATCAGTGATGTCATGGCAACCGTGAGAAGATTACACAGACATCATCCCGAGCGCCTGATGCTTCGAGTCACGAAACGGTCCTATGATCGATGACCATCGAAGTGGCGCAACCAATCTAACCGGATCAGCAGAGAAAAGCAACACGTTTGGCCATGAAGACAAGTCAAGTTGGGAAACAACGATAAAAAGGCGAGTGGTCAGTAAGAAAGCACGAGAGCAAGGAGTCTCTGTTCATGTCATGGGAGAATATGTCTTTCTGATAATGTCAGGTGTGAGAGTGATAAGCAGTGCAGGACAAAGGGGGTACCTTTGCGGTGACGTGTACATCCGGGGCATTCATTCTGGAAGAAGAGAATACTCACATCGACAGATACCCAATGGTGAGAAGCCACGATGGAAGGCGTTTTAGACTCTCAAGACTCAGACCACCTCAGACTCGCGCAAACATCGTCCTATCCTCCCCACCACCCATCGTCTCCTTTCAAGATCTCCATCTTTCCCACTCACACGCTTCTTCATCTCCCCACCCACACCCTTTCCCACCTTCCCATCCCCACTCTCGTCTTCCATGGCCCAGACCCAAGTCTGTCTCTGTCCTTCGGGTGGCAACAGGCTGTCAATGAAATCGTGCAGCACCGCCTTGGCCATTGCCTGATCGGGACAGTCAGACCAGTGGGCTTCGAGGAGTAACGTAGGAGGTTGTTTGGGGACGGTATAGATCGTGAGGGAGATTGAGGGATGTGAAGAGGAAAGAGATGGGAATATGAGAACGGGAAGGAGGAGAGTCGTTCCTGGCAATGGGGTGGGTCGGACTGATTCTTGTGTTGTTCGAGCGGCCTGTTATGAGCTTATATGTTCACAATTCTCATTTACCCAAACCACCATCAGTGGGTGTGCTGATTACTATCCCACTGTGTTCAAGAAGGTTTCGAGGAGGAGGGAGTATCTCGGCAAGTATGAGAACATCCCATGATCGATTAAATCTGGGACTGTCTTGGCGGATAAGGATTTGAAATGAACGAGGACGAAAGAGACTGTGGGCATGATATATAAGGAGGTCGAGTATGTCGAAACTTAAGAACATAACAACATACCTGCCGGGCAGCCTTAGACAAACCCAAAACAAATCCACTCATTACATTATTCAATATCGGTCCAACATTCTCTGCTGGTCTGACGGCCAACACCCTATATCTCGCTTCCTCTTTCTGATCCACACCATGTCTTTCCGCCTCTGAGCCCGTTTCGCCAGGGATGAAAGTTCCTGCGTCATCAACAACTCGATTCTTGGTCGTGGGAGGTTTCAAGTCTAAGAAAAGGTATGCAGTGTCGTCTTTTGTCGCTAGAGCTTGAGAGTGAGGTTGGGATGGATTGACGTGGGTTATGACTGACAACAGTCGAGGACCGGAAGGTGGGAAGGATGCGCGAAAGGTACGGATTTGGGTGGATGATTTGAGTGGAGTCAATTGTGGCTGTTCGTCAGTCTTTCATATACCAGGAATCATCAATGAGAAGTATTGAAAGTTTGACCACATTGTCCGTGAGAGATGTCAGAGTTCTTTATCGGGGTCTACGAGCCTCGTTATCGTGTATGCACACTACACTGATACACTCACTCGTCAAGAGACCATATTCATGGCATGTTTGACTACATGTGATCAGATTTGACAATGGGCGACTAGATGGATCGAGAATAGATATGGCAGGTAGAATGACCAAGGGACAAGAAAGGGGGGAATGAAACCCACCGTGTACAACTCAAGAATACGAGCATGTACGATATCGACCAGCTGTGTAGGGGGTGGAACGGTACACGTCCACTGGACCAATCTGCGTGTCAGCTTAATCGAGTAGAAGATAAATCCACATACATTGTAGGGTCCATCTCTCAGATGCTGATAGAAGCTTGTATGCTGTTGTTGAGCGAGGTCCTGTCGGGCTGGAGACGAGAAGTGGAGGCGTGAGGGAACGGAAGCAAAGCATTCCTCCGCTTATCCGATCCCCCTCTTAGAACCACGGCCCGTTCTTGGACGCGTTCTGAAGCAGTGAAGCCTGCAGGATGCTAGACTAAGTTTGCTTCTCGACGCCTAGCAAAGCTACGCCTAAGTGCACAAGTAAGAATCTTGAGGGAAAAGCTGGAAATCAAGATTCACAGAATTGGCAATCACTTCTCCCAGCCAACGGCCATTGCTTCGAGCTCTACATCGGTACATCGGTGTACATCGGACCTGCCACAAATGTGCCACATGAGTTCCGCCACGTGAAAGATGCCGCTGAAAACGCCGATTTGGACCAGCCGCCACAAACTTCCGCATCCGGTATTACCGACTGTGCAGCGGCGAACCAGCCAATCAAATCAGACTTAGCCCGGGGGTCGGGCCTCGTGCCGGCATGAGAGGGGGCCTTTGGCTTTTCAAGTGACAATTAACAAAGAGGCGAAAACTGAGTGTCATCGGCTGCTCGCTCTTCTTTCCCCTCTCTCCCTCTCTCCACGTTTTCTCCTCTCCCCGTGCCACATCGTATCATCCCAAACTCACATCCCTATCGGGCTTACTGGAACAGTTCAAGATCGGATCGTGCTCGCCCTTACGCCCGCCCTTGATACCTCCCTTTCGGCAGCACGGCACCACGATCTTTCGCTCTCTCTCTCTTCTCACAGTAGTCGCCACCCGTTCCCGACCGTTCTTTTCGCTCTGGCCTCATTCCTCTGTTCCCCCCTGACTTGACCCACGCAATCACTCGTGCTCCTCTTCCCTCTTACTCCTTCTCCAAGTGGGTGTCACCCGTGATTCGTATTCCGTAGCTCCCGGTCCCTCTCACCGATTGCGCCTCCTCGTAGTCCATCACTTGATTCGCACAACGCTAAAACTTGCATCTCCTCTCCCGGTACTCCCTTGGCCCCCTACTGCTCCCCACTTGTCAGTCTCCTGACGTGATCACCGTCCTTGGCTCTTGCTACCTCTTGACTGCAACTGCCGTAGCCCATCTAGGTAAAGCCCTGGACCAAGGTCGATCAATCCCATCGACCAAAGGCACTCTTGCGTTCATTCCGCCCGTCGCTCGTCCATCCCTCTCACCATCCGTCACACCCTCGGTCCATCCACCCCCCCCCCCCTCCTCCTCCTCTCTTCCCTGGCTCACGTTCTCGTACCTAGATTATTCTTTCCACTCTCGCCGCGTTTCAGCCTTGATTGCTTGACGACGTCTATCGTGGTTTAATCCCGCACCCCACCTCTTTCCCCAAAGGGAGGTCATCAACACCGTGTTCTGCGCCTTCGCCTAACGCCTCGACACACTTGCATCTCCAGCCTCGTGATTAGGGTTAGTCTTTATCTCGTCCACAGCCCGTACGCATTCCTCTCGCGTGGTTATCTCTTGATCTTTACACATATAAACACCTCCACTTCCGAAGGACGACGTGTCACACTCATATCTTGGGCTTCACTCAAATGAGAGATCCTTCTCGCCTTGGTTCATTCCACAGGATCATCTTCGCTTGCCATCATGCTGACTTTCACAGCCCCCCACTCCTACTCTTATGCAGAACGCCACGTCTCATCCAAGCGGAAGCGGTCCCAATTGGGCACCGACGACGGTGAGTTTGAACAACTCCTTCCTTTCTCTACACCGCTCGCCTTCTCTCCGACATTTCTTCCAACACCGCTAGGTATCATGCTGACGCTCTCCTCCTCCTCTTCCCCTTCCTTACGTCGCCTTGTCATCCACTACCCTCTATCACCCCTTCCGTTGTCGCATCGCCGACATTACCCCTCTAAATCAATTGACATTGGCTCTGATGCTCCCCATGGACGCGTCACAGCCAAATCTTCCAGGCATGTATGCCGCACATCAACGAAATTCATCGAATCCCCGCCCTTACGCTGCTCCCGATGCCTCGGGACAGGGTGTGAGCGGGGAGCAACGCAGGGATGACGCCCACATGTACGGTGGACAGGAGAGTTACGCTTCATATCAAGGTGGATATGCCAGTGGTGGAGGAGGTTATCCGTATTCGAGCAATAGGTGAGTTCAACAAATGCGGAGTTTCAACTGACAGCGCAGTCTCACTGGCTATACTCCCACCACCGCTGCTTCTGGTTCTCGGAAAACATCAGGTCCTGGCACTGTCAAACCTGCCACTCCACCTACCAACGCCTCTGCCTCCGTCGGTAATCCCTCTCCCTCGTCTCGGTATTATACCGCTCAGCCTTCGTCCGCCACCGAAAGCTCGCATTTGCCGACTCAGTCTCCTTACCAGTCGACGTCGGCACCTCCTCAAGCCACCCATCACCAGATCTCGAGTCAAAACCAACCTCAGACTGCTCGTCCTTACAGCGGTTATCAAGGATACTACAATCAAAATCAGCAGTATTCTGGACAATATTACCCTACTCCTCAGACTGGTCGGCCTTCCCAAGCCGGGTCTGCCTCTACCACCACGCCCACGATGAGTCACAATGCTACGATGAGCGATACAAGTCATCCTCATCGTACGCCAACTTCTGCCACATATGACTATTCATACTCTTGGCAGCACGATCCCAACTCGGCTCGCACTTCTTCGGATCAGTGGCAGCAGCAACAACAGCAGCGTGCACCCGTGCAAGGTATCAACCCCTCTAATGCGATGCCCCAGCAATGGCAGTATGCCCATCAAATGCCCCAGTCGATTCCTCCTCATCAAATGCAACATGGTCAAGTGCCTGCTGGCGGTCAATACTCGTGGCAGCAACAACAATGGCCGCAGAATTTCTATCCACCTGCTCAGCAGCAAGCTCAGCTGCAAACGATCGCACCTCACCAGTCAAGCAGCAGTCCCGTCATTGGGAATGTTCCCGCCGGTGGGAAGAAGACCAAAAAGGAGAAGAAAGAAAAGCCAGAGAAGGTGGAGGGCGAGCAAGTGTTAGGAAAGCGGCATGCGGAGTCTGGAACAGAAGAGGAAGGTGATGAGAAGAAAGACATGAAAAAGAAGAAGGGGAAAAAGGAGGAGGAGAAACCAACTCCGAAGCCTCCTGCCAAATCTCACCTACATCCTCCTCGACAGGCTCAGTCCGCCTGGCAACTGTTCTTTACCGACGAGTTGAACAAAGCGAAAGCGGCGGCTACGACTGGTCACTCCCCTGGAGGAACCCCTCAACATGCTAAACTGAACGTAGCCCAAATCGCCAAAGACGCTGGAGCCGCTTATGCTCAGCTGGATCAGGAGCAGAAAGCATACTACGCCCAGAAGGTGCAGGAGAGCAAGGAGCAATATGCCAAAGACCTCGCGGCATGGCAAGCAACCCTCACGCCGGAGGATATCAGGGTGGAGAATGCTTTCCGAGCTCAGCAGAGGAAAGAGGGGAAGTCGCGGAAGGGTAATTTGAAGGATCCCAACGCGCCAAAGAAGCCTCTCAGCGCTTACTTCCTCTTCCTGAAGGGTATTCGGGAAGATAGTGCATTGCGAGCCAAGGTATGGGGTGAGGAGCAGGAAACAACGAAGCAGAGTGTGTTGGCGGCGGAGCGATGGCGGAGTTTGTCAGATGAGGAGAAAAAGGTGAATTTTCACATTCTCATTCTGAGAATTGAGCTGACTCTTCAGCCTTTCCTGCAACAGGCCGAGAAGGACAAGCAAGAGTACGAAGCGGCTCGAAAGATCTATGAAGATGATGCTGCCGCTCGAGCCAGAGGTGAAGATGTTCCCGATCGACCACTTTTGCCTCACGTCTCGTCACCGGTCACTATCGACCTCAAGTCCATTCGCGAAGAACCGAAACAAGAGTCCCCCACCGCTCGACAAGCATTACATCAAGTCGAACCTACCCTCGCTGGCTTTCACCACGACTCAGACGAAGAAGTGCCTCATGGTGATGGATCACATCCTTTCGAAAGCATCGAGATCGATGAATTTGATGGTTTCCACGATCCGTTAGCCTTAGATCTCTCAGGATTGGCAGAACAAGCGGGACAAGAGCATGGACATTGGGATGCGCTTCAAAATTTCATGGACACCCACGATCCTGATCAAGAAGAACCACATCCTCTGGTGAATGTGGAAGTGTCCAAACCTATCGTAGCGGAATCGGCAGTGTTGGCGGCGGACGAGTTGGACGAGGAGCCAGACACGTCTGTTGCTCCGACACTGAAAGAAGCTGTGGCTGAGACGGTCGAAATCCAATACTCGGCTGACCAAGGAGTTGAGGCGCCGGCACCTGAAGTGGCAGTCGTTGCCGAAGGACATTTGGCAGTTCCTCAAAGTATCCTCGAGCCCGTTGTCGACGACAAAGATGTCTCAACTCCCTCAGGTATACCTACGGAAGACATTGCCAACTTACCTCCTGCTGGTCTTCCTCCCGTTATCGACGAATTGCCCATCGATAACGCCGTTCAATTGGGAAATGCCAACACCTCGGCCGAACCTGTTTTACCCACAGATACCACTCCTGTCATAGAAGAGGCCCAACCCCCTGTTCCCATGGAATCACATTCAACACCGATCGAAGGGAACACCAGCGAGCCCGAGGAGGAAGCTATGGAAGTCGATATCGCTGCGAATGTCGAGACTACCGATGATGATCCTCAGTCCGCCGAGTGAAATTGTCAATTTCATCGCTCACCGAAAAGGCTTGGGATCTTGGGGAGGTGTATTGGTGCAAAGATGTTGAGGATGTTTGTTCTCAGAGGAAAACGCAAGAGGAATTAGGGCGGAGGAACCGGAAGGAGCAAGAGTAAGGGAGGTCCACAGTTTGTGAAAAAGAAAGTCGAATCGAATCATCTGTGCATACATCTGGAATGGTGCTTCTGGGTCTATCTATGTAACAGGAATCAAGAGTATCTTAAGTGGGCTTATAGTGGTGAGACTATGCACTCGTTATGGTCTGCTTGTGGATCAGTGCATGGGGTCATCTCGACGATATCAAAACAAATTCAGTCTAGCATCTAGCAGCAGCTAGCAGCATGGTACGTGTGGGGAAGGATTGTCCATCAAGTATCCGATACCCGACATAGATTTCAACTCGTAGTTATTGTTTAAGGATGAACCTCCATGTTAGTAGATTACTAGGTTACTTCATGTCGGTTTCCTGCATCGGTTTGACCGAACATCTATCATGACGTTCTTGACTTGATGATCCCGTACCCCAATTTCCAACGGCCAACGGCCGATGTGGAGTAAGAGTACGCACTCTGGTGAGTACTCAGTGATCAGTGACCATCCGTCGACCTCTCAACACAATTGATAGGTCCTCTTCGGCCCCCTGATGATTTCTCGCACAAGGGAAGGAAGGTACATCACAAGGACATTCATCTTACATCCCGGTATTTTCACACCTCTAACTAGTGATCCTTCCGCGTCTATCTTCAATCCCGGTTGACAAGGTACGGTTCTCCATGTGAGTGTTCTACCCTGTATAAATATGAGTCATGTTTCGAACCCTCTCTTTCTCAAGCCTAGATCTTCTGTTGTTCCCCCTGCATAATAAGAGAGGAAGCTTTGGGAGATTGATGATTGAAGAGGAGACGGGTACCTGGTTGAGGTTAATCCGGAGATCGACGTTTGTTTCTAATCCCTGATCGCTGATAGCTGGGCAAAACATCACCACCAATCTGAGAGATCTGAGGCGGAGAGGCCGATGATCAACGTCCCGACAAGAGGGGGCGGGAGGAGAGGATGGAGAGAAGTGAGCACAGGGAAACCCGTCAACATTTCCGAACAAAAGATGTATGGATATCTTTGGTGGCTTGAAAGATCTGGAATGGCACGAATCCTTCGAATAAACTTTATAGTTACCGGTAAAGTTCCCCTTTTCGGTTCATCCTTGACCTTTCTCCTCTTTCTAACCCCCCATGGGGATCGGCTCTCGGCTCTCGGAGAATAATCATATCTCTCGCGTGGGCTGAAACCGAAGGATGAGCCATTTCATCAGTGTTGATGGCTGTAAAGAAAATTACCGGATTCGGCCATCTCGAAAGTCTAATGAGACCAAAAATCGTGCTCGTTCTTTCTCCACTTTCCTCCTATTTCTCTTTCTTGTCTCACTGAGTAGTAGAATTGGCGGATCTACAGAGGGGAGAGGGGTTAAATGTTGATGGTGCAGATCGTATCAGGGTTCCGGAGAGACAGAATTGTCAAAAGAGAGTTTAGAAATAGGGATAGTTGCCTATTGCAGCCGGCTGCCTATCAGTTAATCTTGTGGTAGAGTTTCAATCATCCCATTAAAGCTGAAAGAACAGAGGATGATCTTCTTTGAAATTCGTAAATTTACTGACCTACCTTTTCTTTACGTTCCTATTCCTACGAAAAGCTTCGATCTACAGCCATCTTTTAACTCCACTCATGTCTTTCATATAACGAACAGCTCCACATACGTTCATCTTTTCTCTTTCTCCATCTAAACCTCATATCTCCTTAAATCTCTCAATCAAACCTATCGACCTTTTATCATCCACCATCCGTATTCTTTACACAAATCCGTTTATAAATACTTTGTAACAAATCCTAGACCAAACCAAACTCGTCCAACTCGAGAGTCAACCATTCGAACCATAATCACAAACAACGTATAATCGCAACATTTCTTACCATATTTGAGTAAGACAACCAAATCTTCTATCGTCATTACAATCTTGTGATCCGATCGTTTCAACGGCAACACAACCTGAATCCATACCGGATTCACTGGCTTGTTACGATCATCGATCGTACAAGAAAGACTTTTTAACAACCCTCTTTCATCTTTCACAACTTCTCACATTCGTACTTCTTCTCCCTTCTTTCTTTCGTTTTACCAACACTTTTTTTCTTCTACATCTTCGAACGTCAGGATCCCTTCCGACTTTTCGAACCCGTTGTTTTAATATCTTGTTAGATTAACACGGGATTCAAAAAAATACATATACACACTCATTTTATAAAACATTCGTCCTTTTGTCATCTTTGACATACATTCCATCCATTCCATTCTAAAACGAAAATGGCGACTTCCATAGCTTCCTCTTCCTCTTCATCCTCATCCTCTACCACTACCTCTCAAAACGTTCGTAGGGATCCTATTCATCCAGCTTCTTTATGTCGTCTCTCAACACATTCAAGATTCATGGTGGATTCTCTTCGTACCAAAGTTTCTCCAGAATTCATCGGTAAGTTCATTCACTCATCTCAAAACAAGATTCTCAATGCTAACTCTTCAGACTATGTCGCCCATAGAACTTGCGAGGTCATTAGGATAGCACCGCCAACCGATCAAGCTTATGCCACACCGCCTCCTTCACCAAAACGTTCTTGGCACGACGCCAATGGTCAAAGATGTCATTGGTGGGAATCAGTCAAAACGTCAGAAGGTGATATTGCCGATCACCTTCCGGATTTGCCAACTTTCATAAGAGGTCTAGTCATTCAGTCCAACGTTCAAATGCCTACTCTTTCCGTCACCCTTCTTTATCTAGAGCGTTTGCGCACAAAGTTACCAACAGTCGCTACCGGTGAGTTTTTTTCTTTTGTCCTTCGTCCAGTTGCTGATGAGATCAGGAATGAAGTGTACCCGTCATCGTGTTTTCCTCGCCGTTCTCATCTGCGCAGCCAAATATCTGAACGACTCTTCTCCCAAGAACTTCCATTGGCAAAGATATGCGAAATACTTCTCCTTATCAGAAGTCAATCTTATGGAAAAGCAATTGTTATACTTGCTCGACTACCAACTCACCGTTACCGACCGAGAGCTTCAACGTCATTTGAAAACTTTCAACGAGATCCTCACTTCTTCATCCAAACCAGCTGTCGTAACTCCTTCTGTCCCTGTCGTCGCCCCCGCTGCCCCTCCCCTTCCTCAACGGACCACTCGTCCCGTGGCCAGCAAAACATCTCTTCCTTCTCCCGTATCTCCAGCGGAGCTACAACCAAAGTTGGGGTCTACCACTCGATCACCTCGTCCACCTTTGTACATCCCTGCCACTCGACCATCACGGACGGAATCTGGTTCACTCAAGCGTAAAAGTATCACTGAACATCCTGATGTTTTCTCCGATGACGAGTCCTCCCCCTCTCCCTCGTCTATCCGAAGAACAACTTCTCTCTCTCCGTCCGAATACGCCTTGTCTGGTCTTCAACTCGCCCCAACACCAGGTCTCGCTCGTAGAGGATCTATCGATTCTCAGTGTTCGGAAGTGTCAGCAGTTTCAGACGCGACAACATCGACAGCTACTACTCCTCCGGATTCCAGCATGCTCGTCTCTACATCGGGGAGGATCACCGTTCAAGCACCTCCTTTCATTCGTCAGGCTTCCTACTCTCGTAAACCTGGACATATCTTTATCAGCATGGGAGAAACTGGTAGCACTCCTCCAGAGGGACACGACGTGTTGTCAAATTCGAAGGGTTCGACAAGTTCGCCACAATGGACGTCGAAATTACGTTTATTGAGAAAACACAGTCATGTAGTTTCAATGAACCCAAGTCGAGGTGTGGCGGCATCGTGAATCGTTCGGAACCTGCGAGCTATCTGCAGGTCTGATGGAACGCGAGGAAAAGAAGTATAATGTGTAAAAAATCAGAAATAAATGGAGGAGAACGTCAGTGGAGAGATACACGGATCTTGGTTGTAAAGTAGAGTCCATGCTGTTGACTCGCACCGTTCTAGGACTTCCTGTTGTAGGCAATATATATGGTAGTAGTGTGATATGTTGAGGCGACTGGGTCGTCAATAGGAATGCATTGTCCGATGAACACTTTTCAATTTGGTTTCATGTCCGTCTTGCAGATTGCTCATCGGCCTCGGGTGTTTCAAGTTCGATACGTGTGACAAGAGGTCGTTTGCGAGAGAACCTCGGTAGGCGGAGTGGAAGATGTCGCTTAGCTCTGTATCAAGGAACAGGTCAATGTGAGGATATCAAACGAGGTCGGTGAGGTCGGATATGTATTGGATAGGTCCACTTTTTTGTAACATTGTTGCCTTATATATGTATCTCACGGGGTCACATAACATCAACATGTCACGCAGACAAAGTAGTATTGTTGACATGGGTCACGCCTGCGCAGCCTGCAGCCATGCAGCCTGTTATGGAAGACAGGACGGGTAAGATGAGAATATCCCACGTCATTGATGAAAAATTCCTATGCAAAAGGTAAATTTGCGCGTCTCGCTAGAGTTTCTCTTGTCATCGTGTGGCCACTCAACTCCGCTAAATTTTTCACCTTTTTCACCTTTGTTCTGACCCCCTCTCACTCGTTCTCTCCTTTACATTCATTGTCAGACTCGTTAAATTCGAACTCCCGCCCTCAAACTACCTGTTTGGGTCACTCACTCCGATTTACATACAACCCCTACTTACCACCCACTTTGCACATTCCTACTCCTGAATTATTACCAATCGGTCGACAGCAACTATGCCTTCCGGTTCCACACCCAATGGTCATGTGGCCAACCATGCCAAAGCTTACCTATCACCTCAACAGGCCATGGCTGAACTTGCAAGGTACCCTCATGGCGATGGATTGTCCCTTGAACAACTCATGAACTCTTCCAAATTTGGTGGTTTGACATACAACGATTTCCTCTTGCTTCCTGGACATATCTACTTCAAGGCCTCTGATGTTTCTTTACAGATTCGGTACGTCAGCTTGATTAATGAGAGACTGCAGCTGACAGGTCAGAGTCACGAAGAATATCTTATTGAACACTCCATTCCTCTCTTCTCCAATGGATACCGTCACTGAAGAAAAGTTCGTGCGATTGTTATAATGTGGATAACATGCTGATCGGATAGAATGGCTATTGCACTTGCTCTACATGGTGGTTTAGGTATCATACACCATAATTGTGCACCTGAGGTACAAGCGGAGATGGTTAGAAAAGTTAAGAAGTTTGAAAATGGTTTCATCACCGACCCTATCTGTCTCTCCCCAAAAGGCGTGGTTGGCGAGTGAGTCTATTTTTCTCGATAGTGACATCCCCTGTCAAGTAGAGATGTTGATGGGTCAGTGTACTTGACATCAAAGCAAATTATGGTTTCTGCGGTGTTCCCATTACAGGTCAGTAGGAACTTTCGGTTGGTAAATTGCGTAACTGACAAATCCCCAGATACTGGCAAAATCGGCGGAAAACTTCTCGGTATCGTCACTGGTCGTGATGTACAATTCAGAGATCCCGAAGCTCCTCTTCAAGAAGTCATGACTACCGATCTCATCACTGGTCAAGCCGGCCTGTCTCTTGACGAAGCGAACACCATTCTTCGAGATTCTAAGAAGGGTAAACTACCAATCGTCGATAAAAATGGTAACCTCGTTTCCCTCGTCGCCCGTTCCGATCTATTGAAGAATCAGAATTACCCTTTGGCTAGTAAAGTACCATCGTCCAAACAATTATATTGTGGAGCAGCGATTGGTACTCGCCCTGCTGATAGAGAACGATTGCGCTTGCTCGTTGAAGCAGGTTTGGATGTTGTCGTGCTTGATTCCAGTCAAGGGAATTCGGTATTTCAGATCGAGTTCATCAAGTGGATCAAGGAAACGTACCCTTCACTCGATGTTATCGCGGGTAATGTGGTGACAAGGGAACAAGCAGCGCAACTTATCGCGGCAGGAGCGGATGGATTGAGGATTGGAATGGGTAGTGGATCGATTTGTATCACACAGGAAGTTATGGCTGTGGGTAGACCACAAGGTACTGCTGTTCATGCAGTGTCAGAGTTTGCGCAGCGGTATGTCTTCTTCTTTCTTCTTCCCTCGTCCCCGTCCCGGTCCCCAGGCTCCACTCATCTCTTCCACTTACAAATCCCTGCCTTATTTTCGCCCGAGTATTTGATCTAGAGTTTCACAAGTCAAGCTCATCCACCACGTGATTCTTAAACTACATCTGTAATCTGTGACTAACTCTCAGATTCGGCGTCCCCACCATCGCCGACGGTGGGATCGCCAACATCGGTCACATCGCCAAAGCCCTCGCTCTCGGTGCATCAGCAGTCATGATGGGTGGAATGTTAGCAGGTACGACTGAATCTCCCGGTGAATATTTCTATCATGAAGGTAAACGAGTCAAAGTGTACCGAGGAATGGGTTCTATAGAAGCTATGGAACATACTCAACGAGGATCAGTGAAAGCTAAACAAGCTATCCTGGGATCAGACAATGCAGCGACGGCAAGATACTTCTCAGAGGCGGATAGTGTAAAGGTAGCACAAGGTGTATCGGGTGATGTAGCGGATAAAGGTAGTTTGACCAAGTTTATCCCGTATTTATACACTGGATTACAACATTCGTTACAAGATATGGGTATGAAGAGGTGAGTTGTGATTTTCCCCTGGACTTTTTTAATTTTCTTTCGACATCCTGATCGCCCTCTTCCAATATTTCAACATTCCCCCGGCTGTCACCATCTTCTTTTCCCTCAACCTCGTCTGATCTTCAATCTCAGGGCGGAAGCACACTTGTCCGAGGCTGTCTATCGGACGGTGAAGGAGTGGAGTATGTGGAAATAGGAAACAAACGCTGATAGACAGCGTTGTCGAATTACAAAACGGTGCTAGGGAAGGTACGGTCAGATTCGAGTTCCGTACCGCTTCGGCGCAGATGGAAGGAGGAGTGAACGGTCTTAATAGTTACACCAAACGCCTCTTCGCTTGAATAGCCCATACGCACACAGAATATACAATTCTCCTTCTCATTTTATCATAGTAACCACGTTATTTCCCTTGTACTTTCTTTTCGGGTCCGTCTGTTGGTCCTCTCATCAGGTCGATCAATGTACTCTATGCCATATTTGCTGCATCCAGATCTGTCCTTCCTCACGACGTCCGAGCAACTAGCTAAATGGCAGTGCGCATATATAGTTGTATGGTCATTTGTATTGACGTATCTTGCTACTAATGCTTACTGTGCATCTTGACTTGGCATCTCTGGATCTATGCTTCCTGGGAACAGAGGTGTTCTCATGTAACTTTGTTGTGCTTTACACAGCTGCTTGGTACGATTATGCGTTCAACGGACGAGGCATAGAAAATGGTGAAACACATGATGCAAGATGTCTTCAAATTAACTACTCCATGGTCATTCAGACTTGCTCATACTCTACCATCTTTCAACTCATGCTCCAATTCTACATTGACATTTCTCATCACACTCCCCAACTCTACATTGATCATGCAGAAGAGATATGATCAAATCGCCGTGGCACTCCCATAAGTCGTATTGTCCAACCCTCTTGACACTAATGCGAATTCATGTAATGCTTCTCTCATCTTTTTCGTCGTGCGTGATCTGTAAGATGAGTTTTCTTCTGAACACCAGTGAGATTGTACACGATCTGATGTTTCTTATCTTGAAGTGAGATAAAAGTGGACAGCTAACTATACCAAATGAGAACTGAGAGGAAAGTCAGCAAAGAGATGAGACGGAGAGGTGAAAAGGCCAAAGTCGAAGAAACGAAAACATACCTTAACACCGTCTGTTTCAACTTGATCTTCGCTTCATTCGTAGCTCTAACATCGGGGAATCCAGGCTATACATCAGCACCTCGCCCACTCCACACTCTTCATCTCCCATATCCCATTCCTTGTCTCCCGCGTGAACAATAAAATGGTCAAATGGTGAAAGAAACTCACCTCTCCCAAAATTTGATCCAACCACACTCCCAAAGCCTCCCCTTTGATCCTAGTCACGAACGTAGCCAACAACTCTGCTAAATTCGGAATGACAGATCTAGGTCCTTCCGCCCCAGCACTGAGTAAGATGGCACGTAACATCTGCGGTCCAAAATGTTGTAATAAAGCATCGGATATAGGTTCGAGAGGTGAAGGAAAACGTGTAGTTGAAAGTAAAGCGACTAAGAAATCACAAGATGCTTTGAGGGAGAAACGTTCTTGAGCTGATAATCCCATAATTCCAAGAGAGACGTAAGTTTCTACTATTGTGGATGGAAGACGGAGGAGTATACCGGGAAAACGGGAAGAAAGGTTGGATGAGAAATTGTACCATGCTTCTGCTACGTCGGGGTGCTGTGGATCAGACTCTGTCATATGCTACTTTATTTGACTTGATCGTTTGACCAGCACAATACAGACCAATCTATATAACATACCTGAAGATATGCGTCGAGATGACGAGGATTGCGTGTCAAGTAAGTCGAAGAGATAGGTAGGGCGATATCCGAAACTTTGAAGGAAAGGGAAAGGAGAGCAGGGGAATGATAGTAGAGGTACCGAGAAGAACCCCTTGACTCACCTCTGCCACTCCCCCTGGTACGCCAACTATGTTACTAGCGACCGACAACAACCTTGTCGCTGCACCAGCCACAACATTCCATCTTTCCTGTTCTTCCATCTCGTACAACACCTGCTCTTCCACAGTCTTATCCTTCTTCACCGTCAACGCCGACGGAGGAGAATTAACCCTCATTACAAGTGTACCCGCTAAAGATATCCACAACGCTGATGGAGATCTTTCACAAGCGGTGGTGACAAGTGTTATCAATGGTAATGGTGAAAGAGAAATCAAAGTTTCGGAAGATGATAATGTGGAATGTTTCACTAAAGATGAGAGTGCCTATTTTCACATCAGCTTTGACAAAAAAAAAAAGAGAAAAGGAACAGATATTCACATCGGCAATTTCTCCATCACCATTCCATACTTGAACTGCACCCTCCACAACTTGTTCTATACGTAGTCGTAATCCAAACATACGTTGATCCATCCTTAACCTCTTCACAGCTATTTCTTTTTGCTCCAATTCATCGTCATCTGTCAAATCGAAGATATCGTCATCACTCGGTGTGAGTCCCTTGAAACATGCTGTCAAAGCATGAAGGGCGTGTACGAGCAGAGGTTGAGCGGCGGTAGCATCGGTCTGTGATGCTCGGATAGCATTTTCCACTTGGTCACAGATAGGTGTGAGAATACCCTAGAGTGTCAACACCGGCAAAGGGAGACTGAATGTACGTACCTCCACTGGACCAACCGCATCAGGAGGTGCGAGAGCTTGAATAACACTGGTTATAGCTTGTACGACCTTTATTTGTTCTTCAGGCTAAGAAATTTAGATATGTCACTCATGGGAGAGATGAGAACAACCTACACCCAGCTCCCCCAATTTGCCGTGCAACTCGGAAAACGCACCAATGTGCTGTACAAGCTTATTGCGACATATGTCACACACCGTCTTCAATGAGTCTGCAGCAGAACGGGATATTATCCGAGTGGAGGTGAGTGAAGGGACGAGATATGAAAGGATTGGTAAGAGATGATCTGGGTGGAATTTAAACCATTCTTCGTATGCCTCTATTGCATCAGCGGGTTTGGTCTAACACCAGGCGCAGCTCACGTATCAGACAAACGACTGTAAGACGTAATCGTTCTTCACCTCGACCGACCATCGGTCTATTGGCCAGTTGTCCTAGAATGGCGTCGCTGAATACGATTGGTAGATACCGAGCCTCTCCCAGGGGGACTGCTTCGGAAGAATATCGTATACAATGTAAAGTGGCTTCTATGTCCTGAAAATCAGCATCTCTCTTAGCTCCGACTCCAAGTGATTTTCACTGACCTGCCATGTAGCCGTACTCTCGACTTGCACTCGAGCCAGCTCAACTAACGTCGATAGCATTTCTTCTCTCAGGATGTAATACCTGAGGCATCAGTCAGTCACACGGATAAAAACAACTACCCACGCGCAGATGACAACCTCTCCCGCATCGCGACGCCATGAATCAAAAGCTTCACGATCATCCTTATCCAGTCCGCCAAGTCCATCTGTACTCTCGCCCATTCCAGGCCATCGGACTTTGGTCCGGATAGTAGACACGAGTTCTCTGAAGAATTGTCTCGCCACTCCCCATGTGGGAGCACTATCGTAAGGCGCAGAGAAGGCATCGGAATCCATGATCGCCTCTTGTATGAGTGGATAGATAGGAAGAGTCAACTATTATAGTCAGCTTGCAGAAGGTCGGGCCCGCAGCATGGTGACAACTTACCTCGCTCATATGCTCATCCACGTTCCCAGTACCTTTCCAAGCTGTTAAACGAAGGACGACTCCCAGAAGAGCCTGAACATCTGGATGTTCTATACGTGAGACGAGCCAGTCGGACGAATGCTCTATCAGAGCAGCGATAAGTTTTCCCACTCCTAATGTTTCTTCTGAAGGTTCTGATGTGCATCAGCTTTATTCCGGAACAAATGTACTCGTGACGAGAAAGGCGAATAACCTACCTCCATCTGCAGACCCGATAACGGATTGTCCGCTGGGACCAATGATCCAAGCGAGCAAAGGCTCCGTTAACACTTTGGCTCCTTTTCCATATTTGAAGATGCTCTCCGAGAGGACCTCGACTAGGGTAGCCGATGCAGCGGGCATAGGTAGTAGACCGTACAGATGAGGCAAGAGGGTAGTCAGCTCGCTGCTTATCAGCTACCTTCTCCCATTCCTGCCAAAGTCAACACTCACTCTGCTCCAAGCCCATAAAACACCCAAGCTTCCGCACATCGACAAGCAGCTTCGGCTTCTTTCAATTTGGCTCGTAATTGATCAGACCCCTCCATGGGATCGGGCGGAGACATGGCAGAGGTTAAAGTGCTCATGACTGCTGGTAGTTCCGCTTCGATGTGTTTTCTGACTGCGTTCCTGTCCGTGAGCTCTTTTCCACTGTTAGCTAAGCAAAGGTTATTGAATTCCAGAGATATCTTCGTTGAGGTGTATGACAGACCAGAAAGTCGTTCATGATACTGTAATTTGATGGAATAGCATGACAACTGAACTCACCTCTTCACATCACTCAGCTCGGCCCGGCCCATTTCCTCCACACATATAGCACACCATTCCAAACTCCACAATCTCAATCTGTGTCCTACCAGATACCCTCCCAAGCTAGTTCCGACATCCCCCATGCCCACGTCAGTTGAGCCTTGTGCGCCAGAACCATCCCCGGAGGAAGAGATAGTCTGTAAAACCGTCGTTATGGGTCGGGGGAAATGAGGAAAGGGAAGACGTAAGAGTAAAGATGCGAGCTATCATCAACATCCATTTCTACAACTCAAGGAAGACTGACACATGTGAAAAGTTTACGGACTACCACGGCGTTGGCTGGTTGATACGATTGTGGGTTGGCTGACGAGATAGCATTAGACAGAGTGGTTAGGAGTAGAGATAAAAGACTGGTGTGAAGTTGTTCAGGTAGACTTTCCCTATGGCATAAGTAAGCACATCAAGATATCGTATCGAGCTGTGATGAACTCACCAATCTCTGGATATTTTCACTTGGGCCGTATGTGCCGAGAAGAAACGGACATTAGGGTCCTATTTGTCAGATCGTGTGTATACATACGCCGTATAGTGCTGAGGATGGTAAAATGATATACAAGGACTTACATCATGAGACGCCAGACCAGCGATCAAACCCCATGCCTCTGGAGTGGACTGAATCCGGTGAAGCTCACTCTGGAGCTGTTTTGCTAGCTCTGGATTACCAGATGTCTGAGGATTGAAAAGCTGGAGTATGGTCTGTATGTCAGCATTCGACACATTGGATAAAAGTGGGTATAAGATGAGTACCTGGGCGACCTGTTCGAGATCCGCAGGTTGGAGCGAAGGGAAGACAACCGGTTGAGAGGGAGGTTGCGATTCATCGTCGAGTGTAAGCATGAGTAGGATAGTTCAGAAAAGACAGAGAGCAAGATGGAGAGTACAACGTCTTGAGACCATTCAAAGCGGGAAAAGAATGTTTTGAGTATCACAGACACTAAGGAGGACAAGTTGTAAAGGAAGGAGAATGTCGAGTAGGGGGAAATCTGGTGACGAGGAGCACCTAGATTATAAAATGCATACAACATAATCCGTCCACTTTCATCGATGTATGCACTTATGACACTCGAACGTCCTGACTCCCCTGACCTACTTTGGACATCGCTGAGGGACGCCCTGCAATCATCACTACTAGTAACTCTCATTGCCTCCCTCGCTTTTTCCCACTGAGCTTTGGCATCGTACCCACCCCTGCATCATCGGGGTGTCCAACATCCACAACTCTCTCTTCTATCATCCTTCTAACCAAGGCCTCCGCTTCTTCCGGACCGAACTTGTCTTCTCCCTCTACCTCCAGTTTATCCTTTTGTACAGCAGCAGTAGCAGCTGCCAAAGGCCCTTGTGGCTGGTTTCGAGCGGCCGAAGGTTCGAAAGTCTCCCAAATGGGATACAGAACGATGATATCTTGTACACAGGCAAGTAAGACAGGTAACGAGACGTTGAAAGAGGCGAGAAATCCTGCAGCTTCAGTAGAAGGAGGACGGATACCTAGACTTTCACTGATTGATGTAGATTGAGCCAGGGTGTTTTGTTGGGTGGAGGAAGACCGTGTTTTGCTCTGTGCAGGATTGCTGACAGTTGCAAGACCGAGCGCGATGCAAATAACGGCCAATGCGATGATATATGGCGGGTATAGAAGATGAACTTCGGTCCGATATGTATCGTTCAACATGAATCTAAAGCGTTAGCTGACATGACCTTTATCTTGATCTTGCCAGAGTTCAAATTGTTCGAAATAGATGGAGAGGTTAAGAAGGAGAGAAGGAATGAAACTCACTGACAAATTTGCATAGCCCCTTCGTTAATCTCTATTAAACCCTCTCCACTTCCTCTTCCCATAAGTCTTCGAATACGTTCTTCCTCTTCTTCTTCCACCACCTCATCAATGACCCGAGTCGCCGCTCCAGGACCTGCCTTTCGGATCTCCTCATCCCTCTTCTTCTTCGCATCAGCTTCACGTTTTTTGATTTCTTGATCTTCTTCCACTCGAGATTGTGGAAATTTCCCAGAATCGGCGGGTTCTCGTCCTGTCATTGACCAAAGAGCACGATATGGATGAAAGATCACCAAGTGGAAATCGAGATCTTCTAGTAGATAAAATTCCATTTCTCCCAGTTTGTGTGGGTCCGCAGGGAAGAGCTTTATATTGTTTTCTGCGCTTCAGCATTTCTATACCATGACCTGGATTCTAACCCATCGGGTCCCAAGGGAAATAAGTATGCACTTATGCAGGATTAAGATAAATGGATGACAATACTCACCTTGAAACATCAGTTTGGCTTCGCTCACCACCGTCTTAATATGCACCGGAGTTTCCTCAACTTTGGCAGCGACAAAGCAGCAAGCGGCCAGGACGAGATACGGATTTGTCTCACAATAACTGTTCTTGAGATAAAAACGACGAAAGAATATGGTAGCTGTAGCTATTGGGATCTGTCGAAGGGCGAGTTTCTTTCCGAGCTTTTGTATGAGGTTGGCGAACCATATGCCCAGACAGTAGATTTGACGAGGGGTGGCATATCGAAGGTCGATTGATCTGGCGGCCGCGACGGATGAACGAGTGACGAGCCAATGATGACAGTGCGACGAGCTCCAGAAGCTTGAAGACATTGCGAGGTGTTATGAGTCGTGGGACATGGGACATTTGTTGTAGACTGAAGGCTTACACCCAAATCCTCACACCAAAATCAAGTACGAACGAGTAGGATAGGGGAGACGGACATGGAGCCAATCTCCGTTTTCCTATAGCGCCGACGAAACCTCTCAACCCCCTCGTCAGCGATTTTCTACAGCTCAATACTACTCCGCTTCTTTCTTTCTCTCCAACGACCCTCTCAACACACTCAGGACAGCTCGTATCACTCTGTAGCGTGTCCTCTTTCCCCATCTTATTGGCCAATCAAACCTCTGTGACGCCATCATGAACGTATTTGCGGACGAGGTGAGTGTTCGCAGACTTCCTCACCTCCGCTCGGACCATGGTGTGATGACATGGCTGACCCGAAGGCCACAGAAGAGCGCGGAGAGAATGCTCGTCTTTCCTCTTTCATCGGAGCCATGGCTCTGGGTGACCTTGTCAAGTCTACTCTCGGACCAAAAGGGATGAATAAGATCCTCCGTAAGCCTACATGCTCTCTTCAATCAAAGCTCACGTCACAGAATCCGCGTCGAATAGTACTATCATCGTCACCAATGATGGTGCTACCATTCTCAAAGCGATCGCACTAGATAACGCTGCTGCCAAGATTCTCGTGAACATCTCCAAAGTTCAAGATGATGAAATTGGTGATGGGACCACTTCCGTTTGTGTGCTCGCTTCTGAGCTTTTGCGAGAGGCGGAGAAACTTGTAACCGTACAGAAGATCCACCCTCAGACTGTGATCGAAGGATATCGTATAGCTTCCAAAGCTGCTTTGGAGGCGTTGGAAGCAAGTGCACTTGACCACGGATCGGACGAAAAGCAATTCCGGGAGGATCTTTTCAACATCGCCCGAACGACATTGAGCAGTAAGGTGCTGGCTCAGGATAAGGACTATTTCGCCAATCTATCGGTGGATGCTGTGCTACGACTGAAGGGGTCAACAGATCTGGAACATATACAAATCATCAAGAAAGTCGGTGGCAAGTTGACTGATTCATATCTAGATGAAGGTCAGTTCACTGTTCTTCTGCAAACCTCCTGTATTGAAGTGCAGGTTTTATTCTGGACAAGACGATAGCTACCAATTCCCCAAAACGTATAGAGAATGCCAAAATCCTGGTAGCTAATACTTGTAAGTCCTGGTCCCGAAGAGTGATCAAGCTTATTTGCAGCTATGGACACTGACAAGATCAAGATCTTTGGTGCTCGAGTCAAGGTAGACAGCACCGGAAAGCTTTCTGAACTCGAGCGGGCTGAGAGGGTATTTGGCATTCTTCAGACACGATCAAGTTGCTGACCATTTAAGGAAAAGATGAAAGCCAAAGTCGCTGCTATCGCTGCTCATGGTATCACATGCTTCGTCAACCGACAACTCATCTACAATTATCCTGAAAACCTCCTGGCAGAGGCAGGCATCATGTCCATTGAACATGCCGATTTCGAGGGTGTTGAACGTCTGGCGCTCGTCACTGGTGGAGAGATTGCTAGCACTTTTGATGCTCCCGAAAAAGTGAAGATTGGTCGATGTGATGTGATCGAGGAGATCATGATTGGCGAAGACAAAGTAAGTCTCAGCTTTAAGATAATGTCGGAGCTGATCGGTTTAGTTGATAAAATTCTCCGGAGTCGCTGCTGGTGAAGCCTGCACAGTCGTCCTCCGCGGGGCGACGTCTCAAATGGTAGAGGAGGCTGAAAGGTCTTTGCATGATGCTTTGTCGGTATTGTCACAAACCGTCAAAGAGACCAGAGTGACGCTCGGAGGAGGTTGTGCGGAAATGTTGATGAGTTGCAAGGTGGACGAAGCGGCTAGGACTGTGAAAGGGAAGAAGGCTTTGGCTGTGGAAGGATTCTCCAGGGCGTTGAGACAGATTCCGACTATTCTGGCGGACAATGGGGGATACGACAGCTCTGACTTGGTCACTAAGCTGAGAGCCGCGCATTATGAGGGTCAGGCGGATGCTGGATTGGGTGAGTCTCGTCGTCCTTCTTAGCCTTCCTGCCACTCATGTTCCTTTCCGTGTCTATGATATTTGGACTCGCAGCAACGACCAGAATAGCTGACAGATTGATATGGAGCTTGGCCAAGTCGGATCGATGAAAGAATTAGGAGTGACAGAATCTTACAAACTGAAACGCCAAGTGGTCATCAGCGCGTCCGAGGCGGCCGAGATGATACTGAGGTGAGTAGGACTTTCATAAATACAGGTCCATGCTGACATGTCAGGGTGGATAACATCTTGCGGAGCGCACCGAGGAGACGTGAGGCCATGTAGAGTGCGAGTTTAGAAGCTGTGCATATATGCATCGAGATCATCAGTTCCATAATCCGTAACTTACTCGTACTCTATCTGTGAGGGATGAATATTTTCCGGTCAATTTATTTGTATTTCTACATCTAAGGACGTGACTGTTTTCTTTCCGTCCACCATTTAATGCGTTCAACCATCTTCTACCTACCTGCACATCTGTTCTTTAAACGTTTCCTCTGACTGATTTGCATTATCAATCCCTGAGAATCTCTACCATACAACACCACTGACAAACGAAATTAAGATGTGAGTCATCGTACTGTCAAGAGAATCAAAATTTTCGATCAAGCTGACAAGATAGATGTCCTCAATCGCAACCCTGCCTTCTAACGCAAACCTCCACTCCCTTCCCCCTTTACCCGATTCCCCCGTCACATCGACCCTTCGATCACACTATGATATCCCACTCTCCAAACGGTCTCCCGGAAAGACCTCTCATCCCACCCTATCCCCTACTTCCACCATCGTTCGTTCTCAGACACTTTCAAACTTCAACCGACCCGTCCAACCAGCCTCCCCCGCTAGACAAGACAAGTTATCTAATAGAGTCCCTCAGACAGCTCCAAGACCACAAAAACCTAGAAAAGTATCGAGTTCTTTTCGAGTCCCACATTTTCCCGAAGCGTCTTTATTGAAAGATACATCCATGGGAGGGGATAGTATGGACGAGACATTTGATTTCAGCATTGAGAAATTCCGACCTCTCCCTTCTAACCCTTTACCTCGATCTCACACTTCCAACGATATGGCACCTCCCTCAAAACAACCTCTTCAAAGTGCAAATGACATCAATCAAGGAGAGATGAAATCTTCCCCAGCAAAACCCACCTCACGTCTGCTCTCGTCAAAAGCAGCGACTCTAGGTGGTCTTCCAGCATCTGCAGCATATGGCGATCTTAAATCTCTCGCTTCTTCCACTAAACCTACAGTACCCAAAAAACGATCAAGCTCCATCGAACGTTTTGCAGATTTGCTCTCATCCGTCAAGAGAGCCCATGTTCCTCCTCCGATCTCCACATCCTCATCCACCAAATCATTCGGATCGGTAAAATCCGGGAAAAACAAGAGAACCTTTCCGGCTTCCGGATCTGCTCAATCCCTCGCTAGTGTTGGAGAAGAACCTGGTGCCCTAGAACTAGCTTTGCGTGTCCCTCTTCCTTGTAGTCCCAACAAGCCGGGCTTCTTCACTAGATCCGTCGAACAAGAAGAAGAGATTCTCACCTCTCCCCCCAAGCGGTCAGGGATGACGTCGACGAGGTCAGAAAAAGGAAGTCCTGAGAAATTCTCTGCTGGGGATGTGTCACTAGACATTCAAGCTTTGATGGCGCGGATGGCCAAACCTAAGAGAGCATCCGGGACGGAAGAAAGTTTCGTCGATTTGCTCGCTGCTGGCAACGAAAGCATCATGGATGTGTATGTATCTTATCTCAGTCGAAGAAAATGTTTCTGATGAAAAGCACTATGATGGGAGGAGATGAAAGTTTCCTTCCTCCAAGCCTTAGGAAAGCTCGATTGCCTCCAAGTAACAGTGGGAACTATTTGATCTCTCCGAACAAACCGATTCCCTTGCGTCAATCTCCTATGAAAGCTCAGCGCATCGAGCCGATCATGCCGAGACGTGTGGACGCGATCACACCGAAGAAGACACCCTTGCCAAGTATGACGAAAAGCCTTCCTCGGACTCGGTCTACCCCGCAGACCATCCACAAGGCGAGTGATGGTCCAAGACGGGATTGTGCGATGCCCACACCGGAAGTTGATAAGATTATACCATCCAGTACGACCCGACCCAAAAGTCTCATTCGACCATCAGGGATCCCATTTCCTTCGCCAAAATCACGACCGATTCCTGAATCCGACCTGTCTTCTCCCTCGAAACCACTATCTGGTCTTTCCCGAACTAGCTCAATGAAAACACTCACTGCCACTCCTCGAGAACAGAGACATCGATCTGCGTTACCTCCTCCCACTTCTCGTCGGATTTCCCTCTCTCAAGGAAACTTACCACTCAACGCTTCGGCGTCGCATAGAGTTATGGAACTTCCTAAGCCTCGTGAGGTCGAGCAAAAAGATCGATATAGGAGAATTGATAGCGCCGCAAGTCTCAAAACCCTCCCCACACTCACATCTAGTACTTCTAGTCTCATCTCCAGGGAGGTGGAGAGATCGGATCGTCATAAAAGGCTAGGTAGTACCGCAAGTACAAAAACTTTAATGACTCTTCATTCCAGTACCTCTAGTAGGAACGCGCGTGATGAAAAGTCAGAATCTACAGGATATAGTCATAAACGGACAGACAGTATAACAAGTAACAAAACTGTTCTTCCACTTCAATCAAGTACTTCGACTCGTCCTTCCACACTCACTTCTCGAACTTCTACCTTACCCCAACCGAGTCAATTACGACGTGGAGAGATGATGTCACCTGCTAAGGCTTCCGCACCCGCAAGTACTACTATCCGTCCTAAACCCACTATGACCGAAGCTAAGACTCGTATCAGTATGGCTCCTCGATCCATCCCGACTTCGACCTCCACAATCAGTGGGGTACCTCGTACCATGACAACAACCTCCTCGACGCGATCTTCCACTTTACCTTCATCTCGATCGACTTTGTCTCGAGGTATCCCATCTGTTTCTAGTACTTCTTTGACAAACGCCCGTATGAGAGAATTCGGTAAAGATTCTTCTTCCACCACGAACCGTCTTCCGGCCCCTAATACGAGGATCGGAACAAGGACGAAAATGTCCATGGATCCTGTATCACCTAGCAAAAGAGTAGAGGATAAGAAAACTAGAGGTCTGTCTATGCCTCCATCTGCCAACCCCGGTTTGGTGGGTAAAACCACTTCGGTACCTGCGTTGCCTAGACCAGTGGGGAGTACAGTACGACCTATCGCACGTGTGCCAGGGGAGTTGAAGTCTAGAGTAGGGACGACAGGGACCAAGTTGGATGGATCGAAAATTGGTCAATTCAACAAACGGACGGAAGGGGGTCGTGAGGGAGGAGAGAGTACTTCGACTGCCATGTCAGCTATCCGAGCTAGATTGGGGGAGTTGCAAGCTAGGAGGAAGTGAATTTTCATGTCGGAGATTAAACGATATACCCTACTTTCCAAATGCTGTGTGGTCATGATTTTGAGAAGGAGGATGTGAAATGGGACAAGTTGAAAGTGCATTCATACAGTTGTTGGAAGATACCATGTTCACACGATGCAAATTTGAGAATAATCTACAACATGTCGTACTATTTACTATTTTTAACAGATACAGCAAGCAAAGGGAATTGAAGAAAGAAATGAGATTGAGATTTGACATGATGATGATTCAACACGAAGCTGATGATGATACTGATACAACTGGCGATCCAAATAAGGATTTTGGAAGGATGGCCATCTTTGATATTGGGAAAAGAGATTCAATGATGAAATGTCAAGATGTGGTATCTGTCATTGGAGGAGTGAGGAGATTTTCCAAACCATCTTCTACCACCCCAAACCAACGTTCCATATCTTTTACCAAACTTTCCAATTCTGTGAGAACTACATCATCTGAGATATTCGCTAAATCCAATGGTTTGACAATCGGTCCTTCCAATTTCATCCTTTTCAATCCTATTCCTATTCCTATACCTCCTTCCCCGTCCCCTACCCCTTCGACCATACCATCTCCACCATTCGAATCATTCATACCCGATATCACATTCACATCATTCACACCATTTCCCATCCCAACACCTAAACCTTGATTTCTTTCAGATATGTCATTCTTCGTTTTCAAACCTAATCCCTGTACTACCGTCGAAGTCAAAGATGGATCTCGAGAAAGAGGTATACCTCCTGAATTGAGATTAGTCGATTGAGCTGATAAAGTCATATTACTCTGATTTGAAAATGTCGAGATTGAAGATAAAGAAGGGACCATAGGAATTGATAGATTTTCGAAATTTGATGATGATAACGGTGATGGTTGAGGTTGAAATTGTTGCCAATTATTTAATTTATTATTACCTACAATTGTTGATGGACTTGGTGGAAGTAAATCTGTCATTTCTGATATTGCTGGTGATAATTTTAATAATTCTCTTAATCCTACTATTGAGCCATTTTCATCTACTCTACTTCCACTTCTAGATCGATTCATCGGGTTTGAATTCGTTCCTACTACATTCCCATTCCCATTCCCATTTGTATTATTCATTCCATTTGTATTATTCATTCCATTTGTTCCATTCAAGCCATTTGAACCATTTGGTATGTTTAAAGAGTTGACACCGTTGGGATTGATTGGTCGGATATTTGAAGGAGGAAGTGCGAGACCTTTGGAAGGGGAATTATATAAGTTTGAATTAGATTCATGATCTGTTGAAGCTGTTAAAGCTTGAGTATGAGAATGTGATGCAGCACGTCCTTCCATAACTGCTACAGAAGCTTGTCGCATCATAGTTGGACGTATACCACCAAGAGTTGGAAGAGGTTTTGTAGGTGATGAAACGTTTTCCATATTAGGAGATGCGGAATGCATTCTTTGTAATGTCGGTGCGTGACGAATAGGAGTTGGACTTGGATTTGAATTTGAATTTGATTGTCCTATAGAATGATTGAGACCGTTCAAACCGATAGAATTGGTTGGTCCATTAAGATATGGGAGATTTCCAGAAATTTGTTTTGGTGAAGGTATGTTTTGTGGAGGTTTAGAAACCAAAGGAAATTGAAATCCTCTTAAACCTTCGCTGACTGAACCACCAGGTCGACGTTTCATTTGAGAAGGTTCTACTAGATTGTTCTTCGTCGAGGTAGAAGATAGAGATTCGGGATTAGGATTAGGATTAGGATTAAGATTAGGATTAGGATTTAGATTGATAGGTCTTGCTTGTCTTAATGAACTAACAGATTCAGCTCTTGGTGTCGGAGCTTGTGATCCTTCAGGATGAAGTGTACCAGAACTAGAAGTTGATAAAGTACTTTCTGCTTCTCTTCCTATTAAAATACGAAGAGGTGTAGGAGAATTACCATGTCTTCCCAAACGTTGTTGTCGAATTGTACCTTCGTCAACGGAATCTTCATCGTATGTCTTCAAACACTCTTCTTCACTTGGAGGAGTTGGGAAACGTCCTTCTTGTTCTACTGTTGAGGAGTTCTCAGATGATTGAGGTGTAGAAGGTTGTTGATGTGTGAAAGATAAGAAAGGGTCTGGATCAGAAGATGTTTCATCATGAAATAATCGACGGAGTGATTGTGGAGCTGGACGTGTGTTTGCAGAACCAGCATTTAATGCTACACGTTAGCAAAATTATCCTACACCGACACATCATAATGAAAGAGAGGATATTCACTGTCGCTGATATCTCCCTGACTAGCTTTTCGATCAACCAACATACTCATCCTTGAACGTACTGTCTATAATATCAGCTGCGACTTCTGCTGATATGAGAAAAAGGTCAAAAACCAACATCAAAAGCCCAATCCGCACTATTCCCAGCCAACTCATCATCCTCATCCTCGATATTCGCTCCTACACCAGGAGCTAAACTTTGACGTTGCCCTCCATTCTCTTTCCAAGTCTGAAACCTAGTCACCAACTCGCTCATCTGTGTCAATGGAGTTTTCGCTTGATTTCGTATCCATTTCGTCTTGCTCAATTCTTCCGCAGGTAATCGATCACTGGGTTCTTCATTCAAACAACCAATAACGAAATCTCTCATATCTTTACTCCAATTACCTCCTTCTAATCTAGGAGCTCTCATTTTCTTATCTCCAATCAGCATGACAGCTCTAGCTGCAGGTTGACCTGACATTGGAGGTTCTCCATGTGCCATCTCCAATAAAGTAATGCCCAAAGACCAAATATCAGCTTTAGAATCGTACATTCTTCCTTCTGTCACAACCTCTGGTGCCATCCAATAGGGTGTTCCCACAAAAGTAGACCTTTTAGAAGTGTTGGAAACTAGGAGAGCAGCAACTCCAAAGTCACAAAGTAATATCCTAGGTGGAGAGGTCGTGAGAAGTATATTGGCAGCTACAATGTAAGCGTCAATCTTGAGGATGGTGTCAATTTGAAATCACCTTTGATATCCCGATGAATGACTCCGTTCTTGTGAAGAAATGCTAATGCCAGTAAAACTTCTCTCATAATGAGACATATGTGCAATTCTTTCAACGGTTGTGCTCGGGACTATAATCATCAACATTATCATCTTTGGAAGAAGTGATGAGAAAAACAAACCAAAGTCCTTATACTTCCACCTTCCGCATATTCCATAATGATCCATACTCTCGGACCCTCGACCAAACTTCCATGGTATTTGATAACGTTAGGTACCATCCCTCCAGCCCCTTGCATGAGCTGTTGAAGTAGACTGATCTCCTTTTGTATATCGCCAACATCATCGTCCTCCGTATCGAGGTTTATAATCTTGAGCGCGACGACGTGACCAGTTGGGATATGTCGACCTTTGTACACCGCACCATAGGCTCCCTTTCCAACGCATTCGAGTTTCTATACGTGTCAGCGTGGATTCAGTAGGAAGCTACGATGTGTTGGAGCAAGTCATACACACCTCATAGATGCGTTCAGGGGCGAGATCCTTTGGTTGTGAGACGAGCCAATTGAGATATGCCTGTTCACGCGATATCGAATTTGGAGCGACCATCGTAGTGTCTCACTCAATTCGAGTCCCGATTGCCCTACCGGCTGTCAGTGTACAGTGTTCTCTTGTCTGCCCAAATGAGACGAAGAAGAAGACGTGTATCAAGCTGAAGTGAACTTGAAGCTGGGCAGGGGAAGTTTGAGGTCCTTGCTGAGTCACGTGACTAAGTTTCACAATTTGTCTTCTTTTCCGTTTTCGACTTTGACGATAATCGACATCTTTTACTCAAAGTTCATCGCAGAAACAAGACACTGTACACTGTCGTGGTCGGGAGCAAGATATCCATCTTTCGATCACTCATCTTCAGGGTCACCGCTTCTGTGCCGAGAATACAGCAGGTCATCATGTCCAGCTCTTCTCCAGCCGAGGCAGGTCCCTCAAAGCCCAAACTCGGAGGTTATGATTTCTATCACAGTATCGGCAGTCCCAAATGGGTAGTAGCTCCCATGGTAGATCAGAGTGAGATGGTATGTCCTGTTCTCCTCTCTACCTCTCTCGCTTACAATGATGGAAGTGATGCTCATCTATAGGCATGGCGTCTTCTATCTCGATCCCCTCTTCCTCCTTCCATCGCCGGACCATCAACCAGCGTCACTCCCGCTAGCACTTCGAAGACATATCACCGTCATCCCGGCGGAGCACACTTGTGTTATACGCCTATGATCCACGCCAAGGTTTTTGCTCAATGCAGACCAGAGTCAAGAGGAGGCGATGGACAGTTCAACCTCTCCTTCGAAGAGGAAGGATCGAGCGAGACTTTGGCAGGGATAGAAGGAGGCGATCGACCTTTGATCGTACAGGTCAGCTGGAAGTACTCACGTCAATTCCCTATAGCTGATGGATAGTTTTGTGGAAATGATCCTGAGGTGTTGGTGAAAGCCGCGAGGAAGGTAGAGCATAGATGTGATGCTGTGGATATCAACCTGTCAGCTACTGGCAAGTCGTCGAGTCATAGCTGATTGATAGTGGTTGTCCGCAGGGTATAGCAAAGAGAGGGAATTATGGAGCGTTCTTGCAAGATGATTGGGATCTGATTCATCGTATAAGTAAGTCAAGCGCTTTCAACCTCAATTGATTTCCCTATTCTCAGGTGTCATTCTCACATGCTTTCGACTACAATAGTGTTTCAGGGGAATTCACATGTGGACAGATTGAAGATGATCATCAATCGTTGCTCATTTCCAGTATCCACACTACACAAAAACCTCTCAATCCCCGTCACTGCCAAATTCCGTATCTTTCCAGAGATGGACCGAACCGTCGCCTATGCTAAAATGCTCGAAGACGCCGGAGCTCAAATCATCACCTGTCACGGTCGAACAAGGGAGATGAAAGGTCAATTGACAGGATTAGCAGACTGGCAAGCTATCCGTGCTGTCAAGCAAGCTGTGAAGATACCCGTGTTCGCCAATGGAAATATCCTCTATCGCGATGATGTTGATCGATGTATGGAAGTGACGGGATGTGATGGTGTTATGACTGCCGAGGTTGGTTTTGTAACCGTCCTTCATCCCTCCTCTTCTATTACTCCAAATGAGGAGTTCGATAGACTTTTTGGTCAATGGCACTTGTCGCACGGACGACGCATATAGCGTGTAAAGACGAGGGAAAGAAATCCGCTGATAGATAAGGGAAACCTGTCCAACCCTGCCATATTCCTCCCTCCCGATCATCCCCACTTTCATCCCAATACCGTACTCCTCGCTCGTCGATACCTTGACATAGTTTCTTCCCTCCAAACTCCTACTGCCAACTCGGCGATCAAATCCCATCTGTTCAGACTTTTCAAACCCATTTTAGATCAAGATGATGATGGGAGCCTACGTCAGTATATCGCGAGAAGCGGCTCAGGTTCCACAACAGAAGCGAGAGTGACAAGTTTCAGAGAAGTTGTGAATGAGATCGAAAAACGTCAACAAGTGAGTAATTTGTCCACTTTTCTCCTCTGGCATCTTCCAACCCGGCCCACAGCCTCCACGGACAGCCCATTCAGAGTCATATTTTGCGCTTCAGGATCAAAGCTGATGGACAGCCCGCTGTGGATAAAGCTGGTCCAGACTGGAGTCCTCCCCCTATAGACCCAATGACAGGATATCGAACACTGCCCGTTTTCTCCGCTCAACCTCTTATTCGCGCTTCACCCATATCGACGGAAATAGGAGGTAACGAATCTTTTGTTGATGAAGAATCCACCTTGAACCAACCTTCCACCCCTCCGACCGATCCAACACGAGTACAAACACCCACTCCAAGTGTGAACGGAAGTAATATCAATATCAATATTCAAGTGAAATGTCCCCACTCGGACCCTACACCATGTAGCGCTATAGCTGCTTCTCGTTGTTCTCGAGGATTATGTTTGTTACATTGTCGACAAGAAGGTGCAGTGGAAGGTGGTATGACACCCTCTGAAGCTCTTGCTGCGGTTTCGGCTGGACTCATGGGAATGGGATGTGAAGCGCATGAGAGTAAAGAAGCTGCTAAGAGGGAAAGAATGGCTCAGAAGAGGAAAGGGAGAGCCGAGACCAAAAAAGTGGTGAAGATGCGTAAGGTGATGAAGGATGGTATGGACGAGGAAGGAATCATGAAGGTTGCATGATCTTTGTCGTCGTGCGAGAACGAATTCAGCGACGGATGGTTGTATTCCTTCACCAGCTGCAGGGGTAGAGGTGGCATGAGGGTATTGGACAAGGAAAGAAGTGAAAAGAAAACGCAGAGATCTTGCATTTTTTAATTCATACATCACGTTTATTCAATCTTGAATCGAGATCCATCTTCATCATCGGCATCAAGCATGATCTCTAATGACCAAACAGATAAAAAGAGGACTATATTTGCCCATCTTGACCATGCTTGTCCTCCGTCGAGCACTGAAGTAAGTGAAATGTCACATGATTGTGCTCCTTCCGTCTCCTGTAGTAGGGAAGGCAGGTGTGTATTGAAGTGGTGGGAAATGGATGAAAGGTGAGTGATGATGAATGACTTACAGAGTTGTTGAGTGTATGCAGCTGTTAAAACTGTATATCTATAGCTGAGGAAGATGGTGGATAATCTCATCTTGTGATGAGTATGAGTCCCTGACTCATGTATTCGCACCCTCTTGGATCTTCCAGCACAGCAGGAGCAGCGGACGGTGAACGAACAGAGTCACATGAAGTAGTGAAGGATGGGTATGAAAGTATGTATTTGAATCGCAGTAAACTAGAGTGGACTGGGAAATAAAGATATGGTGAGTGGGATAGCAAAGACAGAAACTCACCGTGGGCTCATCTTCCAAATCATCATCCTTTTCCCAAGCACTATCATCCCTTATAACAGGTAAGATCTTCCCTGCCATCCACAAGACTCCCAATCGAAATCCCAAGGATAAAGTTTGATGAAAGGGTAAAGAAGTAAGAACAGAGAAGAAAGATCCCGAAGCGCCTCTCAACGCTCTTGAAGCGAGTGAAGAGACAGTAGGATATCTCATAGCTGTAAGAGGGCTGGTGGTGACCCAAGAAGGTATGACTGAAGAGGGCAACCAACCGGACCCGAAGGCCCTTGTTCTGTTTGTCAGATTGTACGCCCCATTCTTCTACTTTTTGCTATCATATTGGTTTCCTCACCCCGGTTTCGAGGAAGAATCCGTGGTACTTTGATGGACGATGGAAGATGAAGTGACTCACTCTGCTGAGGATTCCACGCCGCTCAGCCACGCTGAGTACTATACGTTAGCACAGCTCATTACATCCGGCGTGGAATATATTGCTTAGTGTGGCTGATGTAAAGGCACGTAGATAGACTCACGACAACATAAACGAACACCATCGAAGTCTCTAGTACGTTCGTGCGCCGAAGAGCGAACCCGATAACAGAGAGAAAGAATACGGCAGTGAGTGCAGCGCCTAGGAAGAAAACTGATAAAGCGTCTTCGGCCGTGGAGGGAAAGATCTGGTGAGATTAGCGAGCTTCCGTCACGTCTTTCGTCTTTTCTACGCCCTTCACGCCTCTGAAGGCACGATTGTACGGTACTCGGTTGTCACGAGTCGTTCGAACACACGACCTGTTCGAACACTCCTCTGCGCTGACGCCCGGTAGGTTTTGGTGCCTAGAAATTCGTCCTGCTTGAGATCAGAGGCTGTTCGAAAGGCTCGTGTATTCGAGCGTCTCGTGTTAACGAGTGGTGTGAGTATCTTCTTTCCGTCCAGAAAGAGGGATGCAAGAAGAGAGGGTTATTTGATCCTCTTTAGGCAAACGACGGACGTGACGGGCAGAGAAGTGAAACTTGTGATCCTCTCTCCATTGCTCTTTGATCGGATTGAAAGAAAACAGAAAATGTTCGGACTCACCTTGATAACACCCCATATCCCTCCCGAATATATCCCCACAGCCGCTATGACACCAAGGATACTCCTCCATCTCGATCCTTCATAATCCTCCTCTTCAGTCCATCCCTTCCCCGCTCGTCCAGCAAGTTGAATGACTAACAAAGCACACACACCTTCCACCAACGTGAACAGTGGTGCGAGCCATCGCAGCACACTGGCATAGACTAATGGCAGGACATTGACCAGCCAATGAAGAGGAGCTATGGACAAGGTGGACGTGGGGACGGAAGGTGGATGAAGGTAGAAGTAAAGTGTGAGAAGGATCAAGGAGGAAGTGATGAGTGGTGAGAAGACGGAGAGGAATGAAGATAGTATAGATATCGGAGTTAGACGTAGTGTAGAGAGAAGGGTCTGGTATGTGACGAAGAGAAGGGATAGAAGGAGAAAACTGGGTGTTCCTACTGGTCAACGCCGCCATTTAGTCAGTGCCCTTGGTTCGTTATCTTTACATGATATGAGAGAGCAAGAATTGTCAGAAGATGATGGAATCAATGAGATGAATGACTCACCTAAGAGATCAAGGGTCATGGGTAAAGCCAATAAGATTTGAAGGGAAGACGAGGTCCGGGTGAGGAGCCCGAAGAAACCGCCCAACATGGTGGGCGATGACGATGAGGCGTGGTACGGCGGTCGAGACTAGAAAGCGTTTGCCCTTCGTCGATATACGAGCGGATAGAGCGAGATTATGACCAGCTCGAGACCAAAGCTGATGGATCCCGGTATTAGGAGAGAAAGGTCAGTCAAAGGTGAGCTTGAAAAGCGATCGGGAAGAAATCTTGACATCCTTTGGTCAAGCTCCTCTCTATCCGCCATGACATCATGAGGTTATGGTCAACTAAGTACATACAGTACAAAAACGAAAGACATGTGCTGTATGAATATGCATGTCCTGACCATACTGACTGTCATCTCGAGGTAGCCTTGGACACTTGTTGTCATTAAGCTCTCCTACCATGCCTAGGGCCTAGGGCCTCGACCCTCCATCTTGTCATCCATGTCCCCTGATGTCAGAAGATCAGCGAGAATATTCTGTTTTCTGTATGTAAAACTTATTGTTTTCAACGATTGACCTTTTTCTTGTCACCCTTTCTCCTCTTCTCTCTAATTTATCTCATGTCCTAAGAAGACTGCCAGACTCGTCACTTCCCTTCCTCACCAAACCATGCTACCCCTCTCGAGACTTGTTCCCAAACTGCCTGACCCACACGCATTCCACCCAATCTCCCGCCATTTCCCTCGCCCACCATCACTCCCTATCCGTGTCGTCCGCCCATACACCTCTCCTTCATCCGCTCCCAGTCCAAGACAAGTCCGACGGAATGCAGTCCTCGCCGCTCTGCTCCTCACTTCCGCTGCTGGAGCATATTACTACGATACTCGAGTTCGGCGTACGGAGACCACCGATCTCAGCGGAAGAGAAGTCACCACCGTAGAGAAATACGGTAAAACCTTCACTCTCAACCTCTCAAAACGACGTAATGCGCAGTATACTTTCCTCCGATTGTCAGACGAGGAGACTGAACAAAAACTCAAAGCACATGAGGACTCTACTAAAGTGACAAGGAGAGGCAATCCAGTTTTGAAATACGATACCAATTGGGTGGGTTCAAATGAACCTTGTGAGGATAGATATGCGAGTGATCTCATTCCGCGGGGTGATTCCATGAAACAGGATCATCAAAGTTGGTGGAAGTTGTTAAGTCTGGAGGCGGAAGCTGAGGGGATAGCGAATGAGGATATTTTTGAGGAGAAAGTGGGAAAGAGGGATTTAATGTTGTTCTCCATCTTTGACGGACATGCAGGATGGGCAACTAGCGAGTTACTGAAGAAGGTCCATCATCCGACGATCGCATTGAAGCTCGGTGCTTTACAAGCGGGGTATTTACCTAGTCAGAGTGGATGGAAAGTCATGGCAGGGTATCTAAACCCTTTGACTTGGGTGGGGAGAAGTAATACATGGACCCCGGAATATGTTTCTCAGACTATAGTAGACTCGTGAGTGTTCTTACTTGTCTATCATTGCTTCCTCTCATAATCTCATCAATACTTTTAATAGAATTGAGGACACATAAAAGAATGAAAAGATGAGGTTTGTCACTCTGACATCAGATTTCTCTCTCTAGACGAGAACATCTGTCAAACACCCGTCAAGATGCTCCCCTTACTGAAAGTTCAAAATTCAGTAAAGGACACCTTCCCCACGCCTCGCCAGATGTTCGTAGCCATGACTATGCCAGCGGAGAACGGATCATGTGCCATCTCTGCGATTGTCGACGCGGAGAATAACGGTTTGTACCTGGCCAACACGGGTGATTGTCGGGCTGTAGCTGGATGGGAAAGTCCGGATGGTACTTGGAAATGTGATGTTTTGTCGGAGGATCAGATGGGCGAGAATCCGAATGAAGTGACGAGGTAAATTCCCTTACGTTCTACTCCATCCCTGACATGACTGACTATCACTCCTGGGTGTAAGCCATAAAGTCAATGTGCTGACAAGTCAGGATGCAATCTGAACATCCTAACGAACAGGACGTCATCAAGAATGGTCGTGTGCAAGGAGGCCTTCAACCTACCCGAGCGTTCGGCGATGCAATCTACAAGTGGACAACAAATCAATATAATCAGTGAGACTACAACTGGACATGCTCATTCTACATGCTAAGGAGACAGGATCAAGGGCGCTTTTGACGCTGAAGATGAGAAATTCCGCAAACAACGACCTTACAATTTTACTCCTCCCTATGTGACCGCTCGTCCAGAGGTAGCATATCGTCATCTCCAACCTGAGTCTGGGGAGAAGTTACGGTTTGTCATCATGGCCACTGACGGTCGTGAGTTCATTCCCATCGTTATGAGTCTTTCTAATCAGTAGTCTGGGATAGAATGACCTCGGAAGAAGCAACTTTACTCATGGCTTCCTACCTCTCTCACCCCACGCATCCCGATATTCCCAAAACCGACCTTCCTACTCAATTTTCAATCCAGCCTTCGACGGAAGAAAGGCCATATCCCGCTGAAGACCTACCAGGAACAGGCGAGCAAGCAAAAGGTGCGTGGGTGTTTGAAGGTGATGAGAATGCCGCGACGCATTTGATCAGGAACAGTCTCGGAGGGGCGGATAGGAAGCTTCGAGGAGAGTTGTTGAGTATGCACGGTAAGATTACTCGATGGATGAGGGATGATGTTACTTGCACGTGAGTCTCAGCTTTCGTTCTTGGTCCTTTGAGGATTACGCTGACCGGTAGGGTGGTATTTTTCGGTGAGCATGAGGATGCCAAATTGGAAGCCAAAGTGGAATGAGGCATCGGTCCATACACATGACACAGGGTTGTTGTAAGGCGATACATATGCATATCATATTATCATCCCCTCTATTTCGCTGTACCTCTTGAGACTTTGCACTAGACTTCGGCTAGGCTACCTATTGTCCATAAGATGTGACCCATGGCCTTTTGGGGTACTTCAGGGGGAAAGTGCCATGTGCCACGCCTTGACGCCCAGACCATAGTGACTCCATACTACTCACCTGCAACCCATCAACATCCTTCTGTATCTTACTACAACATCAATGACTTTACAATGGATGACCTCTTAGATCTAAATTGGTCCTCTCCTACTTCTTCCCTCACCTCCACCTCCACCGCTCCCTCTCAACCATCTCAACCATCTCTCAAACCTCTGCAGAAATCATCTTTCGACATCCTTTCCCGACCTTCCGCCTCCCATTCACCCAACTACGTCCCTTCACCCATATTCACCTCTCGAGCTCCCAGTCCTCTTCCCTCCGCTTTACCTTCCAAATCAATCAACAAACCCAATGCTCTCACTCCTTCACCTCTCGCATCCAACACCGCGTCCCCTAACCCAGCTACTGGAGATGCCTTCAGTGGACTTCTCGGTCTACCGGATACTGCAACGGGAGTAGAAAAGAATCTCTCTTTAGCAGAGAGACAGAGAGTAGCTGCAGAGGAGAAAGAGAGGAAAGATAAACTCGAAAGGGCTCAGTTTGACCATACTGCTTTTTGGGACAAGTTGGGACAATCCTCAACCACCTCACACTCATCTAAACCGAACAACATTATCCACGAAGGTCTCAATGGTTTGAAAATATTACAACCTACTTCTAAAACACCATCTGTGATCAGTAAGACGCCTTCTCCGACTCCACAAACTGTGCAGATCATCTCTACTCCGCAAGGACTGCTTGACGACGAAGACGACTTTGGACTGTTGGCTGTCCCAAAACCATCTAAACCTCAAAACGCTTCACCAAAGATGAATTCTGTGGCTGCGGATCCTTGGGACTTTGATCAGTTATCATCTACGATATCAAGTGGACCATCAAGGACTCATACTCCACTCCCAAATTTCGAAAGTGGGGAAGATGAAGATGATCTCCTTGGAGATTTAGTTAAGCCAGTTGTTAAAGTCACCAAACCCGTAAGTCCATTCTCCCAATCATGTTCACAGGCTCTGACTGACGATTATCAGAAATCCTCAACCCTCTCCCCATCTACGAGCTCTCCCCGCAAACAAGGAGACCGTGGCTCGTCATCTCCACCCCCACATATCGTAGGTCAAATAGTCGAAATGGGATTTTCGCCCTTACAAGCTCGTCAAGCTCTCGCACAGACATCCACGGGACTTGACGTTCAAGCTGCTCTGGAGATTCTTCTGGCTGTTCAGACAGAAGAAGAAGTTCCCTCGTTTGACGACGAGGACATCGTTCTCCGAGAAAGAGTGAGGAGAGAAGAAGAAGAAAGGGAACGTCGGCGACGTCGTAGACAAGGTCCATCGAGAGATACTGTGTTGCCGCGTACGCCGGAGGAACGTAAGGCTGAGACTGGAAGCGAATACGATACTGATAAGATACTGGCACAAGCTTCTGCTATCGGACAGGATGTTCTCAGCAAAGCTACCAGTTTTTGGAATAGTAGCAAAGAGAAAGCTCTCAAGGTATATGAGGAACAACGTAAGGCTATGGAGGCCAACACTTCGAAGGAAAGGAAGGCAAAAGGTGCAGAAGGGAGACCTAAATGGATGGCCGAGGCTGAAGATTATGAACAACACACACGATCACCGGAAAAGCCATCACGAGTGGACAGGGAGGATTCTCTTAGACGTCGCAGGACTTCTGATGATATGTTAAGGTCGAACGGCCAGTCCTCCAGCTCACGAGAAGGAAAGGCGGAAGAGGAGCGATATTTGTCCGTAAAAGAACGAACAGATTTATTATTTTCTGATGATCTCAAACCATACAGGTCTCCTGTCCGACATGGTAAATCAACTCGTGATTTGTCGGAAACGCAAAAGACAACAGTACGACCCAAAACTCCCATTCCTTCTTCCGCGTCCGCTTCGGCGTCCAGATCCTCTCAGCTACCCTCTCGGTCAATTGTTCCTGCTACACCGTCCCAAATACAACAGTCAGCCGCCAAGAAGACTCAGGGAAATGAACACTTCAAACTTGGTCGATTTGCAGAAGCTGAAGCTGCGTACACCTCTGCCATCTCGTTTTTACCTGAAGGACATCTTTCGTTGATTTCACTGTATAACAATAGAGCGGCGACGAGATTAAAACTGGGGGAATCAACCTCTGCCGTATCAGATTCTACGATTGTCATCGACCTCATTGGTACGGGGTATCATCCGAATAAAGAGGCACCTCTTCCGCTCGAAGCTGCCGATGTAAGGCTGGGAGAAGCGCTTGTCAAGGCGACTATGAAACGTGCCCAAGCTTGGGAAATTGGAGAAAAGTGGAAATCCGCTTTGGAAGATTGGGAAAGGGTTTTCTCCTTCGATACAATCCTCATGGGTTCGAGCCCAGCGTCAATACGAACGTTAGCTTTGGAAGGTGCGAGACGATGTAGGAAAATGTTAGAACCTTCTCCTCCCACACAAACCAACGGAGAAACGTCTGTGAAAGCCAAAGGTCCCAGTGTGGCCAAAGTATCGAAAGAAAAGGGTGAAGGGGCAGATGTGAACAAATCGAAAGCGGTGGATTCTTTGCGTAAAGTCGCTGCGGCTCAGGAAGCAGAAGAGGAGGAACGACTTCGATTGAAAGATACCATTGATGCGAGACTTCAAGCGTGGAGAGGGGGTAAAGAGAATAATTTAAGAGCATTGATAGCGAGTTTGGACGTCGTTTTATGGGATGAAGTGTTGAGCGGAGGGTTGAAAGTTGGGATGCACGAGTTGATCAGTGAGAAACAAGTCAAGATCAAGTATATGAAAGTGATAGCTAGACTTCATCCCGATAAGGTGGGTTCATCTTTTGCTCGTTTCCTGGTTATACTACTTATTACTTTCTTCTTCCTATTTATATATATACCTGTTTTGTGTTTCCCACCGTAGCACTGTCTTCTCTCCCCATCGCGTAGTCTCTCAGCTGCCTCGTTGCTTTGAGGAACAGAATACAGACACCTACATTTGGGCCCGGGGGGCAGGATGTGTGCGATCCAATTTTGACACAGGAATGTGTGACATATACTGACTACCAGCTCGACGCGGGAAAGACAACATTAGAACAGCGTATGCTTGCAAATGGGGCGTTCGGGACCCTCAACGAAGCGTCAGTTATTACCTTTCACGTTTTGCTCAGCTGATGAAAAGATGGCAAGCTTTTCAAAATACATAAAACGCATACAAATAACATCTATCAGATAGATGAACATGCATAGTATAATTCATCCTCATTCCATCTCACACTCATCTTTGACATCCTTTCTTCTCCTATACCCATAGTGCATCCTTTCATTTGATGTTACAGCCATATACTGACTCTCGTCCTCGTTCAGTCCTACCTCATTTTCAATAAATTACCCGTATCGCTCAAAATTCCTCCATCATTCGCTCCTGGTGAGCAAAGAGAAAACCCCACAGTCACAAACTTGTTTGAGAGTTGGGGGTAGCTGACCAACCAGTGTACTAGTCTTCTTTACTAGAACGACCCAAAGCGTTAGGAAACCTCGTAAGAGTGACTCCTGATGTCAGGTCAAGAGTTATGGCAGACAACATGGGTCATGCTTGTCTCTGGGGGAATAGTAGGGTTTCTCCTTCTTTGGCCAGAAGGAGCAGGAGAAGTGATCAGTTGGGTTATGGGTGAGAAACCGTCCGTTGGAGAAGGCGGTGAAGCCGCTCGTCCTTCACCAGGAAAGAATATGCCGGGAATGGGAAGAGGTCCAGGTAGACCGATGGTCGGTCCTGTTGGTGGGATACCAGGTGTGGGGAGGGTACCTCCGGGGATGTTTGGAATGAAGGGTATGCCGATGCAAGGAGTTGGGGGATTACCAGTACAGGGAGTAGGAGGATTGCCAGTCCAGGGTATTGGGGCAAGTCCAGGAGTTGGTGTACCAGGCATTGGGATAGGTGGTATGCCTTTTGGGGTGGGTGTGAATGGTCAGGGGAGAGGAATTGATAGGTTACCCGGCTTAGGGAGTGGTGTGGAAAGAGGAATGGTGGGCTCGAGACTCATTGGAGGTCCAGGTCAAGGTATGTCCTCTGATCATTCCCGTTTCTCTCTCATCAATTTCCCATCTCGGCAGACTTACATGCCTCTCTCCAATTCCCAGTGTACGACTCGTGAACCCTTTTTCACGAACACTTCTCTATCCTTGATTACGCAAACACCCTACTACGAGCGTTAAGGTGATACCAAATAAATCTCTATATCTCTTTGCTTGTCATTGTATATATCGAAATGACGAATCATAACTAACTCACATAGCTTCAATCCTTGTCCCCACAACCGATCCCAACTCCCATCTGACAGCTTTACGTCAAGGAGTTTTTCGAGGATGGTACGATCCTTCCGATCCCGATACTACCATTTCTCTCATCATCCTAATCTTCTCTGTCCTTTTCACAATAGTAATCCTTGGTCAAATCCTCAAAGCGGCTTACGATGCTAAACCTCCACTTCCCGCTCCCACACCAGCTGAGGCTTTACTGACAGGATCCGCTTGGCTCAGTAACGAATTGAAACGACGTCAAGTCGAAATGCGAGATGAGACTATTTTCAGGTTGAAAGAAGCTGCGGCGGAGATAGAGAAGAAACAATTGAAAATTGAGAATGAAGAAGGTAAAGAGAAGGCTGAAAAATGGAGGAAGAATTTTGATGCGGATCGCACAGAGCAGGGGGAAAGGTTGAAGGGATCATTGAAAAGACAAGGTAAAGATTACGTCAGGTTGAGTGCAAAGGATTGGGAGAGAATTAAAGCAGAAGTTAAGCTTGAAGCTAGAAAGTCAGGTGAATCTAAAGATAAAGGGAAAGAGGAGGGGAAGGAAACAGAAAAGGAAAGACAGAAACGAAAAGAAAAGGAAAAAAAGGAATCGGGTGGTGATAAAACTTCAAAATCCACTGAAACGGAAACGAAAACGGAAACCAAAAAAGAAAAAAGGACATTGGGAAACTTTATGAGAAAATGGTTTTTACGTGATGGAGCAACGACTAGCGCTCCGAAAGGAAAAGAAAAAGATACAAAGGTCAAATTCGTCGATCCTATAACTGCTCAAGCTAACATAGCTCAAAGTACCGCCAACGCTCAGGCTATGGCCGATCGACTCAATCGGTCAAAATAGTCAATTAGATCAACAATATTTTATAAGTCGCACATATCATGTGACATGTGGCATTCATGTACAATGCATGTATCAGTGTAGCTTGTAGTATGCTTTCACAATTCTCAAGTTTGAAAAAATCAGTATTTTCTATCAGCAATCGTAACATGGTGGCGGTTGAGCGCATTCATAACAACCAAACAACTTTACCGGACTCTAATCCGGACCGTAAACCTCTACCTGAAACTTCTACTTTTCCCCCTCTAGCCAAAGACCGGAAGGAGGACATCACTATGGGTATGATGCTTGAAACAAAATGGGAATCGTATGTGGGTATCAATGATGATGCAAATCGAGATGAGGGCGAACACGAGGTGGAACTCGCGCATGGGACCAGAGGTTACCCATTTTGGAAGGGGAAGGGGAAGGGGGGACAAGAAGGCGAAAATGTGATCAAGGAAACCGCCTAAAAGACGAGCTTCTTAGGCTGTTCCCAAGTGTACTCGGGGTTACCAAAGTGACCGTATGAAGCCGTTTTAAAGTAGATTGGGTTCTGTAGGTTCAAGTCGCGGACTAAATGTCAGCTTCTGAGTAGTGGGATTACCGAAAATACAAGACATGATAACACTGATGATTCTACCATCTGAGAAAAAGGAAGACAGCGACTCACCAATCACACCGGGACGAAGATCAAAGTTGTTGCGGATCACATGGACCAACTCCGCGTCAGGCTTGGTACCGGTACCGTAAGTGTCGACGTAGATGGATAAAGGTTCGGCAACACCAATGGCGTAAGACAGCTGAACGAGGCATCGACGTGCGAGACCAGCGGCTACGAGTGATTTGGCGATCCACCGAGCAGTGTAAGCAGCCGAACGATCGACCTTGCTGAAGTCCTTGCCCGAGAAAGCACCGCCACCGTGGGCACCCCAGCCGCCGTACGTGTCGACGATAATTTTCCTTCCGGTAAGACCGGCATCACCTTGAGGGCCACCGATGACGAAACGTCCTGAAGGCTGGATGTGGTAGACGACGCGGTCATCGAGTAGGTTCTTGGGAATGACTTTGTGTACAATCTTCTCCATTATTTCGCTTCGTAGATCCTCAGTGGAGATTTCTTCGGCATGCTGAGTCGAGATGACAACGGTGTCGACACGAACGGGAATGACGGCACCGGATGGATCCTTCTTGTACTCCACGGTAACCTGAGTTTTCGAGTCGGGCCGAAGCCATGGCAGAGAGCCGTCACGACGAGCAGCGGCCATTGCGGCGTTGAGCTTGTGCGAGAGCATAATGGTCAGGGGCATCATCTCGGGAGTTTCGTCCGTAGCATAGCCGAACCTTCAGGATCAGCATGTTTCAAAGGGGCAATGTATGGGTACACACATGATACCTTGGTCACCGGCACCAATGTCCTCCAAGCTACCATGGTCGAGACCTTGAGCGATATCAGGCGATTGTTGTTCAATGGCAACGAGCACATTGCAGGTCTTGTAATCGAACCCCTTGTCAGAAGAGTCGTATCCGATGTGTTTGATCGCTTGACGGACGACTTTTTGAAAGTCGACCTGAGCTTTGGTGGTGATCTCACCGAAGACCTGATGTTCAGCCACTGCCCCAACTTCTCGGAGTATTATGACACCGACGATGGCGATATAAGATGCAAGTGATTGAAACAAGAGGGGATCAACACGTGTGCACTGACCATGATCATACCAGTTTTCGAGGCCGTCTCACAGGCTACCTTGGAAAAGGGGTCCTGAGCGAGACACGCATCGAGAATGGCATCTGAGACTTGGTCGCAGATCTTGTCAGGGTGACCCTCGCCCACAGACTCGGAGGTGAAGAGGAAGCTGGGGTTCGGTGAGGAATTTGAGGCAGAGGGTGAACACGGTTGCGAGGCAGGGAGTTTTGTGTTGTTCCGAGCGTCAAAGCGGTGGACGGGGGATCCGGAAAAGAAGTGACCAAAGGTGGGACAGGTGGCGAAAGATTAGCAAGATGAGGGTGTGGATAGCGGGGACAGTAGAGAATCAATGTCAGCTCGCGTGTACTCTCGAGAATGGATCAGACGTTATACTCCGGAGTGAACGTGCGAGGGGAAGTGGGATTATCGACTCACTGTCCAGGAGCGAGCTCGTGAGAGACACTACCGCCGTTGGCATTTCCGTTGACGATACCAGTCATTGCGAGTCGTTGATGATAGTAGTATAAAAGGATATGAGACTCGTCTAGATGGATGTAGAAGCAAGTATGTGATAGAGGAACGAAGATAAATTTGGCAGTAAGTATGTCAGTATTAGAGGGAGGGGAGAAGGCGCCGGAACTTTTTTTTGTCGTACGTTTCGCTCGCTCACGCCATCGCACTTGGCCCGTGATCGGCGCTGTCCGCTTTTCTGTCATTCCGTGACGGTGTGGCATTTTCACGAGTGTGGCACTTGAAGTCATCCTGCATCCACAGTGCCACACTCCGCCACGCATTCACCCTTCGTGTGTACGAGTACGAGTATGCGGCAATCCTTTTTGAGGGTTCCTCTTGAGCACTTTAAAATGTCCCAAAATCTATAGCAGTGTTCTTCTAGTGGATGAAGACTACCATATAGGGCTGCACCTGGTGCTATAAACTTACAAACATCCAAGCTTCACACGCTTGAGGTCAGGACGTGAAGATCACTCAGTCGAGCTCTAAACCTCCCCTGCTATACGGGACAGCTACATGGCTTTCCCACTTGCATTGCTTGATACTGCAGAGTTCTCTTGCTGATACTCACAGTTGTCTGTCATCGGATTACGCCATCACTTATAGTGTGTCAACCGGTCATCCTCTTTAACTAAGCAATGGCATTGCCAAAGATAGGAGGATTATCTCATCCCACCTCGCAACTTGAGACATGCCACCCATCGCCGCATCTGGAGATGCGCTCGTTTGGATTTAAATCTGCTCAGAGGGAGTAATTTGATCACAAAACAAGCATCCAAGAAAGAAAAGGGCTGGCGTAGAATCCTAAACTCGATATCAGAAAGACATTCCAGACCCAGCGGAGAGAATCTTGATTCGTTGCCGTGCAATTATGGCGGTCGGTAGGTACTGCCAACACGACAAACTACTCCGTTGTGTTCCCTCCCAAGCATGAATAATTCCTTACAGTATAAAATGAAGTGGTCGTTTGGACAACATCTTGAGATGTTAGCTTCAATGCACATTGAATATCCCAGGTCCTGACATTATCACATCGAGCGGCCGCAGGACCCTGATTCCGCCTAGATTCCGAGCTCCATTCCTCCTTTGTTAGTAGAAAATGACCCCTCCGGAGTTGAAAGCGATGTGACCGTTTTGAGCCAACTGGAGTGTTGTCAAGGAAGCTCACATGGGTCAGTTTTGAGGGGACAAGTGACTAGCGAAATTTTGGCCTCGCTTTTAATGACAATCTTGACAATGATCAATATGGTTCTACCACAAGTAGATGAAGCATTGAAAGGTGCGTAAATTCACTGGGCGATGTACCAGCACACGTTGACCTAGCTGGCAAAGATGACGAATGTAGCGTGGGTCAATGGAAAAAACCTCTTTCCTGAGGAGACCGGGCCTTCTTTCAATAAATCGCTTACAACCCTCTATCTTCACAGCCGTATGCTCTACCACTTGAAGCGCTCAGATGGAATGAAAGGCCAGATAATCTTTGGTAATGGCGCAAACCTAAGGAGACAGGTAATCAAGCAAACCAGAAACAAATATCTGTCCAATTGTCGGGTCCTATCCCAGACTCCCTAATGTCATCTATCCAGTTTTCTTTCTGTCCCCCTTGTACTGAACATCTGCAATATCTTAGCAGAAGAGATGCTTGTATATGCTTCCGCGGAATACGCTACGGATTTCTCGTTTGAAAGAGAGTTTCGCCTGGACGACGGAAGTAGACCGACCTTAGCCTTGAAGGGGTTAAAGGATGACTTGGCAAAGTGGACAAGAGAGGTCCTGGGTGTTGTGCTCTCAGGAAATGTGAGCAGTCTGCAGACAGATTGGGACAGGGACGACTTGGATAAACCCAAACCTGAAAACATGACCATTGATCGAAAGTATGAGATTGCGTTAAGCGAGATTACTGTTGATTTTTGTGGTTTAGTATCTGGCATTGATATGGTTAAGACAGACGAGGATTTCAGAAAGACACTCTGTGACCTTGACAATGGTGTTGACAAATTTCAGACTTGGTGGTGTAATCATAGAGAGGAAGCTGAGGTTTTCAAATTGTACGCCCTTGAATTGCTGGCAGAGCAGGAAAACCCATATGCCCGTAACCTGGTATGTCCTATTCATTCACTCCTCACTCCCCAGGAATGAAATTTTGACATGAAGGACAGAAGCTTTGGGAAAGAGTGAGAGAGGAGATCCACTGATATCCAGTTCCAGCTCCTGTCTCAGTCCCAGGCCCTACCTCCTTATGACTTTGACTATCCCTCTTCTCAGGGACTCACAGCTGCCCCAGCCTCTATTTCAGAGGGCAACAGAGGCATGAGGCAGTCTACAGGTGATGAGAGACTGATGTGAGCTGATTGCCTGACTTCTGTAGCCATGTGCCATGCTCACAATTCTGACCTCCTGTCACGCAATCACTTCCTTCCCATCAAACAACTTTCCTCTGGACATCAGTTTGCCATCAACAATCCTGCTCCCACAAACTTCACCACCCACAAGGGTATTAGGAGGCTGACTTTGTTGAGGACAGAGTTAGTCAGGTAGGAAGTTAGTAAAAAATGAAGTTAGAGTTGTAAATGACAATTCAATGCATCTTAAGAAGAGATATAGTAGGGTCCAGGATGTCATGGAACACCTCACAATGCCTGGAGTGAACTTTTTGCCATCCAAAAGGGGAGCAATTGCGGCTGCCTGTCAAATTCAGTCATACCGGTCGGTAGCAGCCCAATTTGGATGCTCATAAGTACTGTCTCTTGTTTGTCCACGCTACAGAAGAACCAAGGTACTTGTCAAACTCCCCCTCTGTCACAAATATAGGACTGATGATGATGAAGCCGCAATGGCGTGTCTCAAACAGTCTTAAAGGCAACAGTAAGTTAGAGTAGAGAGTTGAAATCAAAGATGACAATTGATCAGAGAGACAGAGAAACAAACAGAGAGCTAGAACCACTATTTATAGACAAAATCCTCCAAACTGAGCCTAAAACTCCTTCCTCTCCTCTCCTACTTTGAGGGGGGAAACCCTGAGGAGATTCTGAGGAAACCCTGTATCAAAAGCAGTGTTTTAAACGAATTTTCAGAAGCCTCTGACTCATCCTAGAAGCCCCAGAAGAGATCTCCTCATCAAAGGCTGAAAACCCATTGAAAAGTCAGACGAATAAAGGAGCCGCGAGAAGTGATCTTGAGGCCTGGGAATTAGATGAGCTCTGATCTTTCAGGGGGTTCAGAGGGTGTTTCTTAAGCGCCCACATTATGCAGATTTTGACCCAAAAATACCTGGTTCGGTCCTGCGGGTTCGATAGAGGTTCGAGAGGTTCGAATATAGGCTAAATATGCATAGTAGAGTGGTTTTCCTTCTGGTTCTCTCAGTTGAGTCGTCCGCACTGCTGAAAGAGATGAAACCTCTGACCATTAGTGCGTACTCCTCATCGCTAATGTGTACTCGTGGTAACCGGGGAACGGACCAACCACCAATCGGAACGTCCTTTCACATGATATATGAATGATGCTTTCTCTCTTCTACTACAAACATGCCTGATCTTTTGCTTGCTGCATCCCGCTACAAGAAAAAGCATCCCTCTGAGAGTTTTGCCAGTGTTTCACTTCGCTACAACATCCCAAAAACCACCCTGTACAACCGCTTCAAAGGAGTTCACTCCCCCCGAGGGAACAATGTCGCTCGAGCCCTCTCCATCCCCCAAGAATACAGACTTATCAACAAAATCAATGAGTATGCCAATCGTGGAACCCTTCTTACCCCTCGGTTTGTGAAAGAGCTTGCAGAAGCTGCGGTAGGACGGTCACTTGGTCAAAATTGGACCTCACGCTTCCTCCTTCGTCATCGAGATCGTCTCTCCTCTCAATACAACACATACCAAGAGCTTTCTAGACTTCGAGCAGACAAACCAGAGACAAGAAAAGCGTGGTATTCCCTGGTGAGCTCCTCTATGATCCCATTTCTATGTCTAGAATCTGATCTTGGAGTAGTCTTGGTCATTTGCTGATATATAACAGGTAAAGCGTGTTATCGACTCCGGACTCTATCCCCCTCACTGCATGTTCAATATGGATGAATCGGGTTTTGATCTCTCATATGAGCGCAGAGTTCGACGTGTAACTCCTCGAGCACACAAACGTAATACACAAGCTGTCGGACCCAATAGTGAACACATCACCTCTATTGCCTGCATTGGAGTCGACATCAATGCTCCTCAGGTACCACCAACGATCATCTATCAAGGAATGGGACAGGTTCTGCCAGCTTGGACTCAAGTGAGGGAACCAGACATAGTACAAAAGGGGATGGTAACACAATCAGGTTGGAGCAATACCTATATCTGTCAAAAGTGGTTGACCGATGTCTTTGATCCAGCCACTCGTGACCATGTTCCCCCTCACTGCCGACGACTTCTTTTCCTTGATGGAGCGGACCCCCATGTCAAAGTCGAGTTCCTTGAATTGTGTTGGAGTAGGAACATTGTTGTCATCATCTTTCCAGCTGGATTGACAGGAGAACTCCAACCATTGGATGTAGATTTCTTCAATCACCTCAAGCGCACCTTCTTCAACCAACTGGATGATTATCAACGTGGGAGTTGTTTATCTCGAGCAGCGAAGGGGATGTTTTGGAGATGGCATCAAGTAGCGTGGAAGGGAACGATGCAGGATAATCAGATCAAGGCAGCTTGGCGGAAAGCAGGATTGTGGCCACTGGATCCTGAAGTCATGGGTGCGGTCGATCTACCTACTTCATCTATTCCCCCTATTCCGACCACACCTCCTCCACAAGGCTCTTCACCTGATCTTGAAACCCCACGGAACTATCAGCGCCTCCGAAAATACTCGTCTCTTATCCGGCAGGGTGTGCTGGATCCAAAACAGGCATTTGAGAAGGCAAGGAAGGGATTGGAAGAGTCATTGGCGGATTGTGCATTTAAGGATAGGGAGGTGAAGGACATGCGGGCAGCAATGACATTGGATAAGGAAGCCAGGGGAAGTAGGAAGCGTGCGATCTACAAAGATGGTGAAGTCTTTGACCCGGAGTACCAGGAGCGGAATGTAGAAGCACTTGCCAAAAGAAAGAAGGCAGAGCAGGAATCTAGGATGAAGAAGAAAACGGCTGCGCTGGCTGGTAAGTCGAAAGGGAAGCAACGTGCTTCCCCTGCCTCCAGGAGGTGCTCTGCGGGTCCCTCTACTATTGCTTGAAGAGTTTGAATCCATATGATGCATGTGAAGTAAAGTAGCACGGTCAGAATTCTTGTACTTTACGGGTAAAAAGTCGTTCCGGTTGGTGGTTGGTCCGTTCTCCGGTTACCACAAGTACTCTTCATCAGTGGCGTACACTTCTCAATCAGTAGCGGGTGTGTATTGATCAGTAGCATGTTTTCCATATTCAAACACGTGTTTTGTCACGGACGGGGTCTAATCCCCCGAGGGTAGGCAAGGTGACTGGAATGGGGCTGTAACCCAATACTTGTCTCTGGCTCGTAGAGCTTGAGGAGTATACAGAGGGTGACAAGGGACTGAGGGGACTGAGGGGACTGCAAGATGTCAGGCTGGGACTGACTGGATTGACACAAGATCCATAGGTGGGGAACAACCTGTTTGGAGGGGGTATTTATGTCACGGCCGTCGAACAACTACTTCTTAATAGACCGACGGTCGACGAACCTCGGCTAACTTCACGCTCTGAGTCGATGTCTCACCCAACCAGGAGGGCGCAGACGTCGAAAGGGGTGTAACTACGGCGTACTTCGGCGTAGTTACTCTAACTAGGGTTTTGATCTACTGATGGCGATGTATCTTGATTTATAGCTATCTCTATCTGTCTTTTACTACTGACAACAATCAAGGATCGCTGAAGAACTTCAGCGATCTTCTCAGCTAATATTATCTACTCCTCCTAGACGTTCATCCAACCCTCTCGCGCTTTGACGTACTTCAACGCACTTCGTCCAACTTCCCCGAGCCCTCGGCCATCCTCTTCCTCCTTCGACTAACTCCGCCTAACATCGCCGCACTTCTGCTCCCATTGTCCCTACTTAGCCTAACTCCGTCCAACTTCGCCGTACTTCTGCTCCCATTGTCCCTACTTAGACTAACTCCCCTAACATCGCCGCACTTCTGCTCCCATTGTCCCTACCTAGCCTAACTCCGTCTATCTTCGCCGTACTTCTGCTCCCATTGTCCCTACCTAGCCTAACTCCGTCTAACTTCGCCGTACTTGGTCTCAGAAGTCCTGAGTTACGTGTAGAGTAAAAAGGTTAAGACGTGATGGGGGTTTTGATGGTCAAAGGAGGGTCATTGTTGGTGGAATAATCGAGGTGTCACGACGTAGTTCGTGACAGTCGCCCCCTTCTTTAGCCGCGAACGTCCTCGTGAGCGATTACACCTCTGTCGTGTCAAGAGAACTTAGCAGCGTAGTACCCCATTCTCTCCCTCCCCATGACCATCTTTCACCCTTCTGCTCTTTGCGCCGCACTTCGTAGTTGGGCCTCCTTTCACTCCAAAACCCGACAATGAGACTCCCCTAACTTCGTCGAGGTTTGCCGTAAGAAGCCCTGTGTCTTTTGTAGGTGAGACACGCTTCCTGAATGGCAGCCGAACAACACCGTTGTTTGTCGAAGTAACCCTCGCTTATATTGAGATGAGACACTATAGCGTGGGAATTTTGATCGTCCCTGCGATGCCTTTTGTTGATGAAACGCGAAGTTTGCCGCATGTTGACGACGAGGATTTAGGTTTGATTATACTAAATACTGAGCAGTTCGCCGAGCTTCTCTCTTTTTCCCATCTGCTTTCAAAACTTTCTATCTCTCTTACCTAGAAAACAGATTTGTTACCTTGAATCATCTTTTATTTCTTTAAGTATTTTTAACGTCATGGCCCCTCCTACTCCCACCTCTAACCCTTTCGCCGCCATGAGGAACTTTGGTGGTATGGTGTCGTCTGCTCGTGAGTTATTCCTCGACACTTACCTCACTTCGCCGGACTTGGCTGATGTTCAGTTTCCTTCGGCGACAGATCTCGCCAAGTCTCCTCCCTCGGCCTCGGCACCCTCTCTTTGGGGGAGCCGTCTGGCGATGTCCCTCCTCCTCGCTCCGCTTCTCCTCCTGCCGCCAGCCCTCGCCGCAGGACGCCCGCCTTTCGTCCTGGTGAGTCTCCGTCCTCCTCCGACCAGGAGTCGCTCAGTGGTTCGGAGTCGGACGATCAGTCAGACTTCGAAGGAAAAGGGGGTGATTATAGTGATGAGGATGATAGAATCGTGTCGGAGGGTGAATCCGAGTTAGAGGAACACTCGGATGATGATATGGTGGCGGTTAGTGTAGAGGACAACAACGTAGATAGTCCTGAGCGTGAGTTCTTCGTCCAACCTCTCACACCTTCGCCGAACTTGGCCTTGTTTATCTGTTCTTTAGCTCTCCAAGACATTGCTAACTCGCAGCCGCTCCTGCCCCTCCCCCTGCTCAAATTGTGGGCCAGAAACGACGCCGTTCCCTCTCCTCTTCTTCTTCTTCCTCTTCTTCTTCTTCCTCTTCTTCTTCCTCTTCCGGGGTTCTCCCCCCCCCCAACGCCATCGCCGCTGCCGCCGCTGCTGCCGCCGCTGCTGCCGCCGCCGCTCCTGCTGCCGCCGCCGGTCCTGCTCCCGCCGCCGGTCCTGCTCCCGCCGCCGGTCCTGCTCCCGCCGCCCCTGTCGCTGCTCCCCCCCCTTCTCCCAGAGGGGAGCCTTCGCCCAAACGGGTGAAGAGATCACTGCGGGAAGAAGAGTACTTGTGGGAGAAGATGAAGTCCGAGCCTGGTCGTTGGATCGCGGTTGGTGTTGACGAAGCGTGTGATCGTTGCCGGTGAGTCCACCTATTCGTACTACGCCTAAGTTACTCCTGCTAATTAGTAGACGTGAGATTATCACGTATAATCGTCCAAACTGGCCCTGCCTCAAGGCAGTCAGGCCACACAACAAGGCCCTCCGTTGTGCTTCATGCACGTCTGGCCCCTGCTCCTTCTGTCCCGTTTCCTCTGCCCGGGACATCCCGCCCCGTCCCTTCGACGCTTCTCCTCTCCCCCCTCCCCAGACTCCAGCGTCTGTCCCCCGTTCGCGGGTACCGTCTTCGTCTCTCCGGTCGGTTCGCCGTACTTCGCCGGACCTCCGCCCGTCGCCTCCGTCGCCGTCGCCCTTCGCTCCTGTGGCCGGCCCATCACGTCTCCCGGCTGTTCCTCCTTCGTCTTCTCGCCGTCCTTCGGCCTCTGCTCCTTCGGCCTCCCGTCCTTCGGCCTCTCGTCCTTCGGCGCCACGCCCGTCCTCTCCAGTGGTAGCTTCTCCTCCGGCTCACAGCACCCGAAGTCGGCGTCCTTCCGTTCCTCCGGCCGCTTCGGCGGCCCCTCCCGTCACCCCTCCCTCTGCTTCCCAGAAGACACCGAAGTCTTCTTTAAAGAAATCAAAAGGGAAATCTAAAGAGAAGGAGGTTGCCTTCAATGATGGTGATGTGGAAAATGAAGATACTCAGCGTGCTGGTCCCTCTGCTCCCCGGTTGTCCCTCGTCCACCCTCGTATCTCCCTGGACGTCCGTATTCCTGAGGACGAAAAGGAATTCGCCACTTATCGTTCTCTCGTCCTCGGTCTCACTACTCAGCTTGAGGCCGCCCGAAATGATACATCTCTCCTGCTTGACTTCTCTTCTCGTCAAGCTAACGCTTTAAACAATCTTACTGCGGCGTTAGTAGATGTAGTCAACACTGGGGCTCTGGACGACGAAGCAAGGACAAGGTTAGCGGGCGTCTCTCGCCGAAGCCTTACTGAGATAGCCGATGTTCGCCGAAGACTGTTCGACACCCCCTTCCTAGTCACTCCTATGGCGTATGAGCCACCACCGTCCCTTGACTGGTTAGGTCGCCGTAGTAATTCTCGTGTCCCAGCTTCCGCCCAGACTGCTCTCGACCTCCTCAGTCTTCCCTTCGAGTGTCTACGGACCATACGTTCTCTGTGGAGGACCCCGAGCATGCAAGCTGCTCGAGATGTCCAGGACTTCGGTGACTTCTTTGGGGCTATGAATCGGGCATGGAATGCTTCTCTCTCTACTGCGTTCCCGTCTGAGACTCTCGACCTACCTTCGGTCATCGGTAGCCTCCACACCAATCCCGCGGGACCGAGTAGATCGAAGGAGAAAGGAAAAGGAAAAGGTAAGGGTAAGAGTAAGGACAAGTGAGCGGTACGTAGCTGTAATCCTATGTTGTATGCAGTACGTTCTATCTCCTAGCCCTTCGCAGTCGCCCTTCTTTCGGCTTAGTAGGGTGAAGTTCGTGGAACTTCGCCAATATGTCATCAGCTCCATCGACGTTCTCCACTGGTTCCCATGATACTGAATCGTCTGTTCCTTCGTAACCTAACCACTCTACCAAGTACTCTAACTTTCCTGACCTCTTATTTACTCTAGAGTCCACAATATCCTTTACCTCCCAAGACTCTCCCTCATTGTCTACTTCTACTGGCCCAGGTGGCTCAGCTTGCTGACCAGGAAATATTGGAGGGTGATAAGGACGGAGCAAGGAGACATGGAATACATCATGGATACCTGCCATCGTTCCTGGTAATTCCAATTTACAAGCATGAGAACCTACCTGCCGTACTACCTTGTACGGCCCACTTTGCTTAACATCTAACTTCTTCATTGGTCTCTTCGTCTTAATATTCTCTAACGACAGCATCACTAGGTCTCCTTCCGCGAAGTTCGGCGTAGTCCGGTGTTTCCTATTGTATCCTTCGGCGTACTTCTCATTAGCTTTCTCAATTCCTTCGATACAATCTTTGTGTATTTCAGTCAAATCTTTTACCACCACCGTAGCAGCGGGCACTTCGACCTCGCTAGCCTTTATCTCTTCAGCCCAACGAGGGTGATATCCATAGTTCGCATAGAATGGGGTTTTGTTTATCGCAGAGTGCTGGGTGTTGTTGTAAGCAAAGCTAGCTCGAGCGAGTAGCTTTGACCAGTCGTTCTGCTGATAGGAGGTGAAGATTCGAAGATACAGTTCCAAAGACTGGTTGGTTCGTTCGGTCTGTCCGTCAGTCTGTGGATGATATGCAGTAGAGAGATGTAGTCTTATTCCGAGACTATCGGTCAAATTCTTCCAGAACTTGGAGGTAAACTTCGATCCCCTGTCCGATACTATATTCTCTGGCAACCCATGCTGGGCCACCACATAGTCCAATA